AGTACTAGCCACACGTTAACATAATCTAACGTATAATCATCCTAACAATATTAAATAACCTCTCAACCGTAGGAGTAACAATCTCCTTATACTTACAACGGAACTATTGTTAATAAATACTATTACTAATAAATTCTCTACAATAAAATTGTAATTGTAAATATTATATATTGCTTTAATAAACTATTAACTGCCGCATCTTCTTTACAATACAACTTTTATTTGATATTTGCAATCTATATACTGCAAAACTATATTTCAAATACCTTAATTATAAACCGTATAAACTCCGCTGTACATATAGCAATAATTAATCTGAATAACTTCTTTTATTCTTGTTCTTATAATCTTTAAGTAATTATATAAAAGAACTATAAAGCTTTATTATATATAATAGTCTTATAAAGTATTAAAAGCAACAATCTTATTATTGTACCCAAATAATACAAATAATAATAGTAGCAATAACCTCAGCAGTAAAGGAATTAGAAACTTCATAAGTATTAAGAACTTTTATCTATTAATACGCTTACTAAAAAATTATAATAACTATATTTTGTTACAATCGCAACTATAGCGGCTACTAATTAATAGCGTTATAAATTAAAAAACCGTAACTATAGCGCTGTTAGAAATAACTATTCGAATTAAAATTAATAGTATTTCTATAGAGATTTCTAATTAAATACCGTTAACAATAATTTCTATAATTGGGTAGGAATCTAACTTACCTCAACTACACAAAGCACACGGTCGTAAAATCTTAAAGCGGAATAGTAATACAACAAACTCAACGATACTATATAGAATAATAATAAAAATTATAAAATAATCAATTAAAACAATTGCATAACGGTAAGTAAAGTCTCGCAATAATTTCATTCAATTGCGTAACATAATTAATAATTGCTAACAGACTACGTAATAGTGACGAAGTTAGGCAGCGATGCACACAATAGGCAATAGCGCAGCTAGCTGGGCGCCCGGCTTACTCAGCTGTAAAAGTGAGCCAACTCTACATGCGCAAAAATTTTATTCTACGTGCCCATGATTAGCATTCGTTCTATTGTTGACTAATTTTTTTGTTAACTTTTTTGGGGTATTCATCTTTAGAATTAGTTTTGTTGAACTAATATGTGATGTTGTCGGACACTCTTCTGTTCTCGTTTAATTTCTCTTTTTTCCTTTTCTTTTTTTTGCATCTTCCCGTTTTCTTGGTCATGTTTCCCTCCATCGGGGGTTTTTGTTCAGTTGGCTCGGGCGATTTTTCCTGAACAGGAAGATTATCCACACTTTCACTGTGTGGAATTTACATATGGAGTTTTCGGCTCAAGATCTCTGTCCGGCTACAGTGTACATAGCATTACATGATTGAATTCCATACAGTTTATTTTTCGATCTGCCAAAGTACATACCATACGCATTGCTTACCCGGTTTAGTGCCCGTTTGGAAAGCTTAGCTTGATCACCATATCAAACACACCCCCTCCCCAGTCTCTCCTTCTCCGCAGACTATCTTGTGTTCATCCTCTCACAAGAAGAGAAAGCGAAAGGGTTTGTCTGATTTACCTAAGTGATATGGAGTATAGTCTCTAGTGGCTCTAGCTGATCCCTGCTCAACTTCAAACAAACTCCAACTTCGGCTCTGGAGAATCTGGGATCTTGGAACTAGTCCTATAATTCGACTGATTGCATTCGATACAGTCTGGGATTTCCATGTTTGTCTATCGATGTTCGATTGGGGGGAGGTGGAGTTGTCCGTTTCTGAAGCAAAAGGACAGGGAAAAGTCTCCGATGGACGGAAACGAAAAGGACAAAACAAAAGAAAAAAAGACAAGAGATTGGTAAATGTTAGTCTCCGGGTTTTGCTGCTTTGCCGCAATATCGAACTGATGATCCCTGGTTGCAAGAGAGCTTCCAATGTGAACAGAAGAGAAGTTGTTTTGTTCCTTGCTTTTGCCAGGTCTCGGCAGTTGTATGAAAAGGAATAAGCAGGAGATGATGACAGTCTCAACAAGTAACTCTCACATGCATCCGTCATTGTTCTTGTGTCGTCGTCCTGTCAACCGCCGCGGCACCCACTGATTATACACTACCGTACACATACTTACGTTATGCATAAAGTAGTATGTGTAGACTCCAGATGGCATCCACACCACCTAGCTAACCTACCGGTCATGCCTTACATAGCCGTTGATGCATCTGTATGTGAAATTGTGCATAGCTACTGCAGTACTTGCATTACGCATACCTATTGTACATGAGCAATTGAGACTCGCAGTTGGCGCAAGGCGGCCCGTTCGGTGATCTACAGTGCAGTGGTGGGCGATGAGATTCGGAATCTTGACCACCGGTCGACCCTTGAGCCTCCTCTTCTCACCATGTATGTATTACTTTCGCTTGGCTAGGCGAGCTGGGGTGGTGTGTGAATGTGATGGGTACACGGTCCTTGGAGGGGATTTCACAATGTAGCGAGAGTCTAGTGTTAGAGGTAGGGTCATTTGAGGATGGGAAAGGTGGATGATGTGATGACATTGACGGCGGATGATTTGTGAGGAGGCTGGGGACATGGTAACCCGCGCTACAGTACCTGTCCGGAGATACTCACAAGTACCTACATAGCAATAACTAGCAAGCAAGCAACAATTGGCAGCCTCCTCTTTTCTTGTTCTGTTGTCGAGGCCTTTTTTTCTTTTCTTTTTGTGTGTTTTGTGGTGGATCATACCGTGTCTCGGGAAGGGACGTCGAGAAAAGGGTCCTTCCTAGCCGAAGCCGAGAAGAAGAAAGGGGAAGGAAGAGCCGAATTCAAGAGAGTTTATCACGAGAGCAGACCTTACTGTTTCTCACGAAGCGAGAGAGCTGGCCAGCAAGAGAAAGAAGTAGGTAGTGTACGCCAACGCCGCCGCCTCCTTCCACACTGATTATTTTCGTTGCCTCCGTGTTCAAGCACCCCTTCTCGAGCCACTCACTCCTGCCGGGGCTGGGTATTGTTGATTGCCTGCTGTTTTCGTGGTTTTGTGTCACCCTTGTCAGGCTGATGTGATTCGGTACCAGTCCCTGCTTTGTTTGTGCGCCTTTCCCGGCCAGCCGACCTGAGTCCACGGCGGCGGCGCAGTTGCGCGGCTCAGAAAACAGTCTCGCTCTTGATAGCAAACAGCACCTTGAAGGGGGGGTCGGGGGTCAACTTGAAAGAAGAGGGATGTGATGGCGTGGGAGGCTGACAAGAACAGGCGCGGGTTTGTTGGTGTCGTTGTATCCAAAGCTGACAACAACTCTGCCTAAAGGGACAAAATAAATGAGGTCTAACAGGAAATCAATATGGGGACGTATTCGATGCCTCGAGTGTGTGTAATGCTCCAAGTTCAATGGGCTCCAGGGCAACAGGCGATGTTTGTTGTACGTCCAAAGTTTGAGGCACCCGGCAGGCATGAAGGATGCCAGCCGGACATGTGAAGCGGGATGTTATGTCAGACAGAGCCTCTGTTAGCGCATAACCGCAAAGCCTATACAATTCAGGGCTTCTCAATAACAGGCCTCAGGAACAAAGCAACCGCTGAAACAAAGCACACTTCAGCGCGACTCACATGACCTCGCGAGCGCAGGTTTGATGATGGAGACGCGGCAATGGAGTGGGAATCTTTTGTAAAGACGTGTTCCAGGTTTGGCGTGTTGACCAAACACTCAAATTCCATTCCATCAGTTGCAATGTTCAACCAACCTGCCGTGCCCCTTTACTCCAGTTTTGATCTGCCAGTGGCTATTGTTTGACCAGCATATTCAATTTGTGATCCCGACAACGCCACGACCGCCTACTGGACCGCTCTAATAAATCGGTTGACGTCGTGACAGCCTGGAACCTAAGGCGCCCTTACGACCAACGAGTGCAAAGCAAACAAACAATCTACGCCCGTGCCATGGCTCCTCCTGTCCATCTCAAGCAGCCGCCACCGGCAGAGCCAGTTCATTCTGGACGCGCCTTCGACCCGTGGAATTCGGTAGCGGCCGGTCATCAGCGAGCCGAGACTCGGGTGCCAACCGGGTGGCGTGAATCTCGTGCCAGGAAACTGCAGAATCAGTTTCGCGCCGGTCCTTCCGGTGGCGACCGGATGTTGGACTCTGTTGGGGCTGGCGCCCAAGATTTCGACGAGAAGCGTGGCGTCTTAATTTCAAAGGAGGTACGAGCTCGCGCACTGAACAGCGTTGCCGATATGCTACGGAACCCTGGCACCATGGCCACGGCCTCACAAGCAAGTTCGCAGTCACATGCTTGTCTACCAGAAGAGAAAGGGCTGCAGAAAGGAGCAGAGTATGTTCAAGACGATGATACCCGGGGGCTGGGAGACGCTCAACAAGGACAGAAGAACGAGGAAGGCCAAAGCACCAGCAGGAAAATCTTTGATGGGTTGAATATCTACGTGAACGGCAGCACTCATCCTCTGATATCTGATCATAAACTGAAGCAAGTCCTCGCCGAGAATGGTGCTCGTACGTCAATCCATCTCGGTCGTCGCCAAGTCACACACGTCATCCTAGGCAAACCGTCCGGTCGAAATACCGGCGCCGGTGGTGGACTCGCCGGCGGGAAACTGGAGAAAGAGATCCGTAGAGTCAGCGGTTATGGCGTCAAGTATGTCGGTGTTGAATGGTAAGTCCCCCCTCTTTTCCCCAGCAACAAGCTGGGCATAGGACATTGCGTATACTGTGCTACTACCTCTTCCCCTTCCATGTTTTCGTCCTTCCTGGGACTCCGTAAAGTCTCTTCCTAAACCAAAACGTTCATTCACCCACCCCCTCTCCGTTGTCTGGACCTGCGGTGTATGAGGCACTGCTTGACGGATACTGTGCTTGTGCTAACGCTGTCCTCTCCTTTCCGACCAGGGTTCTGGAGAGCATCAAGGCAGGCAAGCGGCTGCCCGAGGCGAGGTTCGCTAACCTCAAGATCGCGGCAAAGGGGCAGCACAGCGTTCTCTCCGCCTTCTCAAAGAACAAGCCGCCAGCATGATATCAGATGGACCTACTAGGACGCATTCCGACCATGAGAGGGAGGATAATGCCAGACGAAAAGGCGCCGTTAAGGACAGACACGGGAGCCTACATGGTGTGTTGTATGGCGACCGCTGCCTCGACTATCTTGGTCCTTCTTTTTCCTTGTCATGTCCAAGGTTCCGGGTTACTATGCTTTCCCGACCTCACGCCTCGCTTGCGTTAGCTGGGTGAAGCAGAGTAACCTTGGAGAGGAGGGGGGGGGAGGAAAGTGATGTGTACGAGAGGCAGTGGCACGCACGCCTTCCATCCCTAGCACGATGATGACACGACACGACAGCTTACAATCCAGCGGAACGAAGCAAAAGGACCACATACTAGCATGGCAATGTATTACCGCACCACGATCAACGATAGAGATACAACAGAGAGAACAGCACGACACACGACACTTTGCCGGGATGAGGAGTTTTGTGCCGTACGGCGTTTGGGGAAGGTAGGGTCTGAGTCTAGGCCAGACGAGGCACGGTTCGTCACGATGACAACGAAAGCCCACCAGGTATTCGAAAACCATGCGGTCCTATCCCATCCGTATACCATCATTAAGTTCGGGTGTGTCTACTGCCTATCATTTTTTGAACCTCAAAGCAGTCTCTGGTTGCCCTTTCCTTCCTTTCTTTCCGACGCTTGGTGTGTCTGTTCGCCACTACGAGAACTTTTTACTGCTCCTCATGTTACCCCATCTGTTTATCTGCTTTCACCGCATATGAGCAACAGTCTCTATTCCCTCCCTCTACCGCTCGCTGTCTTCTTGGCTGCATCAGAGGTATGGTTGGACAATGGGTGCGTATCAGGTTCCAGGCGAACGCTGAAAGGCGGCATCGGCGGCGCGCCGTAACCAAAGGTGCCTCTCCCCCTGGTTTTCTGTTGTCCCGGGTCGGTCAGCATGCATACAATGAGGCAACGGACAGATAGGACAAGGGACAAGGGGTGAATGAGGATGAGCGGTGGTGGTCGTGGTGGTGCTGAATGGGCATGGGCGGGGGTGTTGGTGGTCAATCGATCTCTTTTGGGGAGGTTGTTTGCTCCAACGAAAACAAAAAGCTGCACGATATATTAACCTGCAGCACGTACGTGGTCGACCCGTCTCGCCTGCTTTGGTTGCTTGGTTACGACTCTTGGTTTTCGTCAAGGGTAGCAAGGGGGTGCAAGTTATTTGTTTTTTTAAGAGGGGAATTCAGGAGTTCTGGATGGATGGGACCAGCCGAAGCTGACTAGGGTTGGATTATGAATATCGCTATACTATGTACACAACAACAATTTGCTGTGTGTGGGGGGGATTGAATGGATATGGATGGATGTCGTTAAGGAGAAGCTATAGTGCGTGGCGTCACACCGTTACTCTCTTTTTCTCGTGATGGACGGGTTATCGCATGCTAGTGTTGTCGTCGTTGCCGTTGCCTTTCTCTTCATTCCCCTCCCTCATACACGCTCTGTCTCTCTCTCTCTCTGTTGCCTTTGCCTCCGCCCAAGTCTTCTCTCTCCCTTTGTTTCCGTGCCTCCCTCACGCTCGTTCCCACCCCGATCTTCCCTCCCCTCCCCCTTCTTGCATAGCATGGCATGGCATTGCATCGCATGGCATGACATGGCATGATGTCAAACTAGGATCACCTTGGATGGAGACTGACACAACACAGACAACAGATCGTTTGGATTCCTTCTTTGCAAATCGTTGGTTCTGCGGTGCCTGTCATGCCACGGATGGATACCTACAGCGCTTCACATAACGTACACGCACATGTTTTCTATATAGGTAGTCGTAGGTAAAGCTAGGGTAGGGTAAGCTTGGTTACCGAAGGGAGCTGCTCAATAGGGAGTTGACGCTTTTGCATTGTCGGATATCTGCGTTGCGCTTCCCTCTTTCTGAAGTCTGGACCACCGATAAAATATGGGCAGATGGGCTGAGCCGTCAAGGCCGGATGGCCGGTGGTGGAACGTATCTACGCTAGTAGTAACCTAGACCGTCTCAACCGGATAAAATGTCCCTTCTTTGAATATTTCGGCACAATATTAGAGGACAGCCGACGAATGTATTTGTTTATGGCTGGTATCTCTTCTGATTTCGTTGGTTTCTGTTGGCTAGGGTCTGGATTGGATCCTGGGGCATCGGGAGGCCGTTTCTGCCGCTTGCTAGGTTATGACTGCCTCCAAAATCAGGAAACTAAAATCATCACTGGAAGGCTCCATGAGCATTGCAAGTTGACTTCCTCCTTACATTTCGATCCATGTTGGCCTAGCCAACTAACCGACTTGGTTCTTGGTCTTGCGTTGTCAGTCCTGTGAGACCTCATGGTCCAACGCCGAAAACCAGGTGTGGTGAGAACTGCTCTGTACTAATATCTACCAGACATTTGACATTTAAAATGTATTAGTTGCTTGTTCTCCTTCCTCGCAAAATTGATACTCGTGTGCCAAATCCCGCGAGATAGCTTCACTGTCGTCATAAGTGAACAGAGCTGGCATTTATGTCTCATATAACTCTTACTCAACCACTCAAACTTGTTCAGACAGTACACTACTCATATGTCACTGAACCACATACCATGTTTACTTTGAGACTTCAAAAGCTTTGATTTAAACAGAGGTGGTATGAATCCACAACTGTTAAAAACGCGCTTCGAAACAGATCCTTTAGACGACCGAAAACTAAAGAGATAAGAGAATGCCTGCCTATAGTCCAATATGGTGTTTTGTTTCTGGTTTTTTTTCTTTTTTTGTTAGCTCGAGACCTTGGATCAGCCTTTTTAGGCGTTTTGATATGTACCTAATTTGTTTTGTTCTATGACCAAGGCGTAATCATGCCTTGAATATACCATTTCGGAGTTTCAATATACAATTTGAATGTTACTAATGCCTTTTCGGTCGTACTTAGTCATTAAATCTTGTCCTTCTGGGGTATAAAACAGTTTGGGATGGATCTTGTCCAGTCTGATAGGAGAACCAAGCTAACAAATAAACCAGCATTGGAGTGAACATGTTTTTACTACAACCAGCAAGGAAGCACTGACAAGAGGAGTAAAGAGCAAAGCGAAACCGGAACTGACAAAGCATGGACTGACTAACTAACTAACCAACCAACTAGCTGGCTGGCTGGCTGACTGTATGTATGTAAGTGAACACAACTGAAATCGAACAGTTACACAACATAATCGTTCTCAATCTATTTCTTCCCCCCCCCTTCCCCCTTCGTAGTCCCATAGTCCCGTAGTCCCGTAGTGGCCGCTTCCGCTTCACTTGAGTACACGCTATTCGTTGTCTCAACAATACATCCACATACCGTACACATTATACACATCAAAAATTACCTTGTATCAATCAGTTCTCGCCTGACCTGACCTGACCTGACCTGGCCTGACCTGGCCTGACCTGACCTGACCTGACCTGAACTGACCTGATATGACCTGATCCGCCTAGTATTCAGTCAGCTAAGGTACATGGTAGTTGATAGGGTCCGGTACCCTCCGATCCAGGCAATCTTCCAAACCCCCCTTCTTTCCCCTTCTACCTACCAAGCACCAACCAACTAACCCGTGCAGTGCCATGGACCTTCTCAAATCTCCAAACATTCTCCCGTCCAACCCATACATGGAGCCACAACTCTCTTGTGTGGTGGTTGGTGTCACAAAGCCCCGTCCCCCCTCCAACGTTCAACGAGCGAACGAACGGCCTTGGTTGGGCCGCCGCTGGTTTCGTCCACCTCGTATTTGAAGTATATCCTTGGACTCTATCTTGTTGGACTTGGGGAACAAGAGTCTGGAACCTGGTAGAGTTGGTGTTGGCTACGGGCCCGGACCCGGCATCGGGACCGCGCAACCAACCAGTCCAGTTGAGTGACAATTCGAACTGCGAGGTACGGCGGATGAAGACTCAATCAATGTCGGAACCGGTGGCAAGGTGTTTGTTTTGAATAAGATGAACAAAATCATCAAAAAGTGCAAAAGAGAAGATAAGTGACATAGTCTCTGTCTGTTCATTTTGGCATGGTGGTGGAAGAAAAGAAAAAAAAGTAAGAAAAGATATGCCCAATAACAGGATTGAACTGTTGACCTTCGCATGGACTTGATATCAGAAAACTGATATTAGTACGACGCTCTAACCAGCTGAGCTAATCGGGCTGCTGATTGTTATAGATATATGTGGGTATGAAGAATTATATTGCAATATCTGTTGGTGGTGTGGGGCTGTCAGAACAGGATAACCTTGTGTCGGGTGCGCCTTGTCTGGACCACCGACTATGGCTTCCATCCATCTCGCTGCTCTTCTTTTCTTTTCCAGAATAAAACCATTGTCATTCGAAGATTGAGGAAAGAACGATGGCCAAGAAGCAAATACAACTTTGATGCATGTACTTCTCAGAGCTTCGCCCTAGCCTCGATAGCTGCATGCAACCCGCCCTTCTCATGCCAATACTCCCTAACCTTCTCTCTCGCCACATCCACCACGCTCGGATCCTCCACTGTCGAGGGGATGTTGACCTGCTTATCGAACTCGTCATGGACCGCGTTTTCCAGCAGCTCGCGCAAGACTCTCCTCAAAGTCTTGCCCGAGCGCGTCTTGGGGATCATGCCCTTGCCCCGAATCATCCCGCCCAGCGAGGCGATGGCGCCAACCTGGGTGCGGACAAGCTTTTGGATTTCCTGGAACAGCTGCTCATCGGACTTGGCGTTATCACCGCCTCCGTCCGAGGTGCTGACGAAGGCGAAGGGGAGCTGACCCTTGAGGGCGTCGGGGATGCTAACTACGCATGCTTCGGTGACGAGGGGGTGGCTGGTGACTGCTTGCTCGAGCGTGCCTAATGGGGTGAGTTAGAGACCGAGAATGCATAAGAGGGTGTAATGCAAACTTGCCTGTGCTAAGACGATGAGCGGCAACGTTGATAATGTCATCAGTCCGCGCCATGATGTGAATGTAGCCCTTTTCATCAATGTAGCCGGCATCGCCAGTGTCTACCCACTTGCCATTGAAGCGCAGCATGTAGCTCTTCCAGAATCGTTCTTCATCCTCCCAAAGAGTCCGAAACGCAGTAGGTGCCAATGGCAGGCTTAGAACAATGTTTCCCATGTTTCCCCTGGGGACCTCGTTCCCTTCGTCATCCACAACTCTGGTTATTACGGTTCAACGTTAGTTACCCATGCATCTAACGGAACGGGAATAGCGTATGATAAATACCTGACATCAAACCCAGGCATGGCCTTTCCAGCGCTCCCAGGCTTAATAGCGAGTGGCGGATGATCCTTCACATTCGTAGTCCTGTTCTTGCCTGCGTGCGGAACCAACGCAACACCCGAGATCGGCGAGCCGGACTCTGACGACCACCAGTTATCAACGACTTGGGAGCCTGCCGCGCCATATCGCTTGAGCAGGTCCTGGTACATGGTGATGATAGCTGGCTCGGACCGTTCTCCAGCAAGAAAGAGGGCTTTGAGGCTCTTGAGCCCACCCCGTTTGCCAACCTCGGTGATAAAGACGTTGTCAGGGTCTTCCTTTCGGATGGCTCGGAGTGCCGTTGGTGCGGTAAACATGGTGTTGATCTTGTATTCCTCGGCTAGTCTCCAGAAGGCTGAGACATCAGGTGTCCCGACTGGCTTGCCTTCATAGAGAACCGTGGCAGCGCCAGTAAGAAGAGGACCATAGAGTGTGTAGCTGTGGGAGACTACCCAGCCTATGTCACTGAAACAGCCCATCTTGTTCCGGATTTGTTAGCACAGTTCACCTATAAAGCCTTGAGCAGTGAACAAGAGGCTGACTTACCACGTCACCCGGTCCATGTATGCCGAACAAATATGAAATGGACATATGTAGCCCTACAGCATGACCGCCGCTATCGCGCACAACACCTTTAGGCAGACCTGTGGTTCCACTGGTGTAGATGATATAGATGGGATCAGCCGACCTCACAGGCACACATTCGGCCTTGACGTTTCTCGCCCGGGCGCTCTTAACCAGCTTCTGCCAATCCCGCTCGCCTTCAGTCTTCTTGATCGGGCGCCACACTAGCTGCTCACGCTGCCAGATAATGGTCTTGGGTGGTTTGAAGGATGAGATGCTAATAGCTTCTTCAATATAGGCGCGGTAGCTGACAGGCCCTTTGCTACCTTCGATACCACAAGAAGCGGTCAAGATGGCGACGGGACGTGAAGCTTCGATGCGTTGAGCTAGAGCGGTAGAAGCAAAGCCACCGAAGACAACAGCGTGGATGGCACCTAAACGGTTAACGGCGAGGATACCAATCAAAGCGGCGGGCACCATCGGCACTGTTTAGACGAGGTTGTCAGTATGAAGCTTAGTGAACAACCATGAAAGCTGTAGATAGGCAACAGACTGTAAACGAGAACAACATCCCCCTTCTTGACGCCCTCCTCCCGCAGAACCCCGGCAAACGTCTCGACCTCGTTAAGGAGCTGCTTGTAGGTCAAGCGCTGCTTGGTGTTCGTGACTGGACTGTCATAGAGGATGGCGGGCTGATCTCCACGTCCGGCTAAGACATGACGGTCAATGCAGTTGTAGCAGGTAGATAACTCGCCATCGGGAAACCATTCCCAATGGTTGTGAGAGGTACCTGATTTCAGATTCTTAGTCGTACGCTTCAGGACCGCAGAAGGCTTCTTGTGCCAGTGAAGCTGTTCAGCTTGATGACCCCAGAAGGTCTCGGAATCGGTGAGGGAGAGATGCTGGGCCTCATCTTGAGGGTGAGCCATTATGTCTAGTGATTCGTGATGGGTTATACTTTCATCTATGGACTGTTAGCTGACAAAGATTCACAAGGGGGCGTGCTGTTGCTTGAGGACACGCTTACAAGAGACTAGAGTACAGTGAAGTCAACGACAAGGCCCGGAGATATATCAGAGATTGGGATACGTGGGTGAAAGACAAAGAACACAGAGAAGAGGGAGTATCTCAGTGACAGGACTGGTTAGGTATATATAGGAGGGGGAGGTCAGGGAGGAGACAAGCAAACAAGTGATATGAGATCCGTGGCCTCCAACCCCATTGCCAACAGGATCGTCAGCCTCGGAGTTCTTGGTCTTGGAGAACTGGTGGAGAGGAGGTCTTCGGCGGTCTTCCAATTCGATCTTGGCCTAGATTCGAGATGACAGACGTGCTCGTGGCATGTGTCGTCGGCGTGCCAAGTGGGTATTTCCCCGCATTCCCGCATGCTCCTACCCCAAAGGTCCGTCTGGGGGATCGACGCGGGGAAGGCCCTAAGGGAGGACCTGCTAACGCCATCTCTGGTTTGGGACTTGGAGGTAGCCGAAGCGATGATGTGAATGGGCAGAATGTCCCGAGCACTCGTGGTCATGTCGGAGACATGGAGAGTTCTTTTGGGCGTTTGAAGCCATCCTGGGTTTCGGTATCCGGAGGACCGTCCGGGCATTATCATACTAGCCCGCAGCGGGTTAGGGCTATAGAAAGGGATCGGGTGAATGGCTGCCGGCCGTGTTGTTGTTTTGGGTCAAGTGGTTGAAAGGCATGGTGTACCGCTTTTCCAGGTATGGTTCAGGAAGACTAGACGGTACTGGATCGGTTGAGGAATCCGATTCATGATCTCATGGGGGTCTGCCCACAACCACCACTAGGTGGCTTTCTCTACAGGGGAAACCGAAGTAACAGAAGATATTATCGCTCCCTAGCTAAGAATAGGTAACCCATCTGCACATGATAAATAGAAGAAACTGGTAGAGTCTGCCCATGATAGTAGCCGAGAAATTCAACGAGAGCTAGCCATAGCAGCGGGATGCCTTTTGGCTCAGCAACAGGGATAGGCCAGCTGAAGCCATATATTCATGCATGATGAAAAAGGCTATATGACCCAGCGAGAAGCAGGAGTGGATGGACCCGTCCCGGACTCTTGGTAGCCCGCCCGAAACACCGGGGTCGGATCACGGCTTCATCCACGTGGGCCGGATCGGCGCGGCACATGTGGGGCCCTCTCAGCCTTAAATGTCCCGTCTTCCAGATTGTCTTCCAAGATTCAGGTTGAGCAGTTGCTGCTTGTTTTAAAAGCTACCTCCCTGGTCTGGGATTCCTTGGGAGAGGAGGCTCTGGACATCAACCAGAGGTTGAGGTATGTACTCAGCAACAGCGCGAATGGCTTCTTGTAGATCTAAATCCACCGCGGTGTTCCTTTCAATATCCGACCTTCCTTCTGAGACGGAGAAGCTTAGTCACTTGACTTCCAAACCATATCTGTAATCGAACACCTGCCCAATATGGCTGGATGATCGTTGTCAGTTGGAGCGGCTGTCAAAACGAAGCTTGCCAACTGACGGAATCAAAGGATCAGTAACCAGCAACGAATCCTATGGTGCGAGGGGCACCCTTCAAGTCTCTGCCAGCTTGCTGTCATCAAATGAGACAGATTCACTGAGATATCGGACAAAAGATCCAAGAACAAGCGTGACGGGAAAAAAATGACTTTGTAGAAGTCATCAACACTCCTCAGCAGGCCATCAGAAACATGTTCATAGTGACGCGGAAATTTCACTCCGGTCAGCCGCCGCTTCGAGACTTGGAACGGGTATATCCTGAGTTATCACAGATAGTCCGTCAGGTATTCCGGACTGAATTAGTATATTTTCATAATGGATTTGAGAGTGGGTAGATGATCACTACCATGCTAGACTGGCTGGCTTGGCTGGTAATCACCGCGTAGCCATTACTCGAACCCGTCTTATGGCTGGGCACAGATGAATGAGGTTACCGCTGATGTCTTGCCGCCGCAGATGTCTCACAAAGTGATGAAGAAAACCGTACTATTATGATTTCAAAATCTTTTCCTCCGCTTCTTGGTGATAATTTGGTGATGTATAAACTCCAACCGAGTGACATCGTCGTCACTCCGTTGATGGTGTCTTGGTGATGGTTTCCTGTCGGGTTTGGTAAACGGCCTTTATCATCCTTACTTATCGTACACTACACACAGTGACTGCCCCCACTTCCCAGTCTGCACGGTGTAATCTCGCTTGTGCCTGCCCAGGTAATTACCACTGTTACCTTACTTTTCACACTCGGTGTGCAGAACGTAAGATACTGCAGTGGTCCGTGATGAACCTTCCTAATCGGACCAATAGGGGATGATGCTAGAGGCGCGTACCTTGCATAAAATGTTGCATTGAGAAGCGGGCCTGGCCGACCTTCCTTTGTGCCTGTTATGTGTGCAGCCACGTCACCATCGAAAATGGCGGAAGTGACGGTGATGAGTTTGGACCGACTTCATAAGTGAACGTGCTTTTTGATGTTTATTGAAATTTTGGTGAGGGCGTAAAGTGGTGAGATTGATGAAATGTGACTCCGTGTTCATGAGGTTCGGTCTGTATCCTCATGTTTTGCAACTATTTCCGTTCGTGTCTGTCAAAATCATTGATTGTGATCGTTTCTTTGGAAAAAGTCAGCTTCTTGGCTGCTGAGATACCGCCTTTGGCCAGCGCAACTGCCGAACAACCTTTTGGAAAAAAGGTGCAAAAGGTGCAGAAAGGCGGTCGGTCGGTCGGTCGGTTGGTCATCTAGAGAGGCCATCGCGATAACGGCTGCCCGGTTCCACTATGTAGTCGGGCCTCCACCCTCATCAGGAACTAATCGCATGCTGACCACCATGCTTCTGCTCCGTCGTCATCGTCTTTTTTCGGCGAGGTTGGCTCACCCGTTTTGATACCTATCAGAACACCATTTTTGTCCATGGCGAGATCAGCGCTTTTGTGATAGCGCTGGTGTGGACCCTGCCGTGGTGGACTTGGTTGCCAATGCATGCCACCTTGGAAGTCGGACCGTTGAGCCTTTTTGTTTGGGGGCTGACAAGGGGGTGACAGAATTAAGGGTACACCAATCACCAAAAACCACCACCAAAGAGAAGGTATAATGTACACCTAATTCTTTCACACCCTTGGCTGATTCGAGCGCTTTGGGTGTTTGCCAGGCGGAAGATCGTCAGCGGGATGGTCGCCAAAGCAACTCAATCCACTGCGCTTCCAGGCATTCGTGAGCAGTTTTTCAGCGATCATAAGGTGCATTGGAGGTTTCAAGTTGGTTCAGGTAACTAGTAGATCTCATGTCACACGAAATGCATCTTGTTCAAAATGGAAAGAGTGTTGATATTATCTGCAATCGGAGAGAGAACCCACTGGACTCTCCATTGGAACACAATTCCACCAAGGGTAAGAAGGGTGCATGTGAGCCGTCGTTCAAAACTTTGTAAGGGGATACATGAGAAAACAACACCGCGGACCAAGCCATCTAATAAGGAATGCAAAAATGGTGGTAGAAGGGTTGAAAGTGTGTGCAAAGTCCCATGATTTCCCGAAAAAAAAAAAAGTCTTTAAGAAGTTCATACAAACACAAAATCCAAACAAAGTTGGGACTCTGCGTTCCCCGTTATCATTAGCCCTGGGTATCCTTTAAATAAATCTCTTCCTCCCTTCTCTAAATCCAGATCCATAATCTCATCCAACTCCACAGCCATTAGAGTTCTCCAAGCGCAACCCCCTTGGCGCCGCAACGTCATGCCGAAGCATGGCCGTTGGCGGGCAGTATTAGCTATTACCGATCAAGAGAATCGTGGGATCATGAGACGTGGAAGTCGAAACGCTTGGCTGTCACGTATGGACAGGAATTTAGAGGAGGATGGCAGCGAGACCGAGGACACCAGCGAGGCCGGCGCCGGAGAGGGCAGCAGCCTTGCCAGCACCAGCGGTGGGGACCTCGGAGGGGCTGACGGTGGGAGAGACGACAGCGGGGGCGCTGCCGGTGCCAACGACGCCGGAGGTGGGGGCAGGGACGGTGGAGTTGACGTAGCCGGTGCTGTGAAAAATGTTAGTTATTTCATGCTTAAGACCGGTCCCGTGAGGAAACGGGACGCACCAGCTGTGGCAGATCACTGACGAGGTGGTGATGATGGGCTTGGTGACAGTGCAAGGGCAGTCAGAGATGGTCAGGGTGGTGGCCTAGAGAAAGAAGGACGCGTTAGCAATGAGGTTCTCGTCCCAAGCGGATAGCAGACTGCGGAGAAAAGAGGTAGAAGGTGGGACAAAATCCGGGGCCGGGCCGGGACCAGGTTCCATGAGGCTCTGCTTCGTTGTTGCGGTATCACCGGGGACACCGGAACACAAGCGTTCCCTCACACAATCCAGGTCCAGGCTCTGGCTCTGGCTTCGGTTCCCGTCTTCCATCCCATCGTCCCCCCCCCCCCCCGCGTCTCGGATCGGACCGTGTCGTACCTCAGTGACGGTGTAGGTGGTGCCGCCATAGCTGATCTCAGTGGGACCAGGGCAGTAGGTGGTGACGGCAGTGACGACCTCGGTGGTGTAGGTCACGTTGCTCCAGGCGTGGGCGCCAGCGGCAGCGGCAAGGACGGCGGCAGCAGAGAACTTCATTTTGGCTAATTTGTTGGCTGGGATTATGTACTCAGAGAAGGAGTTGTATGTTCGTCGTTGGGATTGAAAAGTTGAGGACGGCGAAGGTCGGCAGCTGAGATATTATAACGAATGGAACTGACTGAAAAGTCAAGGTGTGTGGAGTGAGCGTGGATGTGGGTGAGGGAGGAAAAGGGGAAATGGAGTCGCTTCGCGAGCGATCGTCTGTTATATACCATGGAAATTGGGGAGATTTCTCCATTAGTGGAGCGTCCCAGCGTCGCAAGGCCACAAAAGGCCCCTTGTCGACCCAAAACCACCTTGGGTGGTATCCATGTCGTATCCATCACCTTGCATCTCGTCGCTATTGCAGCATGGCGCTAGCCACCCTCACCACCGGGGATAATCAATCCTGACCCATCTTCTCGCCATTGCAATCGATCACTCGAATCACGGCGCCTCGTCAGCACACCTGGGCGTGCTGGGGGGTGTGGCCTTGGATCGCCTTGGACCGCCTTGGACCGCCTTGGACCTCGCCGACACGGGCTTGGACTGCCAGGAACTGCGTGGGAGTGCTTGGCCAGGGCTCGTTTGGAGCCCATCATGACAATGTCGACAGAGTGGGAAAGGAGAAGGGGTGGGTGGACCCCGTAAATGGGATGGTGGCAAGCGACCCAAGAGAGATTGGACCTCCCACTCTTCAACAAAGGGACTTGTTCCTGGCTGACATGTTTGACGGTGCCGACAGGGGAAGTTAATATTATTTCCTGCTGTCAGCGTCCCTTGTCACCGTCTCTTCTGTGCCTGAGCGTGCCTGTTGGTCTGCGTGCTGACAGGCTGGATTCTGCTGAGAGGGTGCAGCTGTCATCCTCCAATGTGGTGGTGGCTGTCTCTGCCATGTTCCTGTTGGTCTCGGTGGGTTGCAAGGCAATTATCACAGATATCCAGGAACAGGAAGTGATTGGATCGATAGCATGCCCTCATAGCCAAACCGTCATTTTCCAATCCAACCAGTTGCAAGCAGCAATCGGTTCGTTCATTTGGCCATTTGGAGTTCTTTCCCAGCGGCGGCCGATCTCGTACAACCGTTTTTCGCCCACCCTCCCTCATCCTCTTTTGCCTCTTTTCGTGATCATGGATGATGAATGCTGGGATGTGTCGTCTCGTTTTGGTGCGGTACCTGCAGCAGATGGTCAGACGGAAATGAAGCGTCCAGAGGGTGCGCGTGGGTGCGTCTTCGGTTGGTCGGAGCGAGCCATCCCCTTCTTCCGAAGGAATGATGTCCCCCGGCCTTTGCAGCAACTTTGCAGCAGGCCCAGCCAGGACACGAACCACCCGACAGTGCCAATTGCGCTCTCACAGCAGCCAGAACACCAAATCGGATCGCCAAAGAACGTCACCGTTGTTTGCACATCAACAATCGCTGTTTTGTTCTAACTATTTGTTTGATGAAAAAATCACCTTCTATTGGGTAGGAATCATGGATGCTTTCGCCTTGCTTGGAACATTAATCATTGAAAAAAAAAAGTTTTTACATATGGACAGGAACCCACGACCAGAGGAAGTGTGACTCGGTATGGTGCAGTTGCTGGCTGTCCACGAATCTTTTCGGTGGTTCCTGGAAATTACTCCCTACAGTGCGCTCGATGGACTCTATTTCTGGAAGCCTTCCTGGAAAGGGGTTCCTCCGAAGCTCTGAGGCGATTGGACACGCCTGAATTTACCACTTGCAGGGTTAGCACTTTGACCTTTAACCGGCCGTGTTCTAGCCCAGTCGCATCTTCTTTCGAATCGAAGTTCCAGGTCTTTTCTCACCAAGCTCCTAGTCTCGAAGAGGTGGATGATGAAGATACCCGGTATGAAATGGATACATGTAGGTAGGTCGACGGACGGGTTGAATGAGAATGGACCATGAACCTCGACCTTCCCCATCGACGGATTTCTGGTGCCCACAACAAAAGCCTGTTCTGTTCCGGTTTCACGAGTGTCGTCGTGGACACTGGCGGTGACAGCAGCTCCCTGCACTTCATGAAAGAATCCTTAGAGAGGCACTGAATGGAGTTAACTGGAGTCCATCCCCATGGAGTGCAATCCACACTGGTGGACCTCTAATAATCTTATCACATGTTCCCACCAACCTCCATCATCTTTTGCGGGATTGCGGGTATGGAACCAGTTCCAGAGCCACACTCAGTCCGGTCTCGGGTACGAGGCCATCGGCAGCATGGCCAGAGAGAGAAAATGGCAATTTCCACAATCTCCAACTATTGTGTCGGCCCGCCTAGGAGGGCAGGAGGGCCCTTGTCGCATGAATTGGACTACAAAACCAAATACGCCTCAGTCATATTGCAAAGTCCCAACCATGGTTGTCTTTTCTGACAGAAGCCATTCATTATGTACATTGCCAGCGTGAGGCCGAGTGCCACACAAACCTCGGTTGCTCCTTTTTGAAAGCAAACAGCAAGCAAATGTCAACATTGGATGAACGACAGGCAACCATGGCAGGGTCCGAGACGCCCCTGTGTTAGTCGAATCTTTTTTTTTCTTTTTTTTTTTCTTTTTCCGAGTTGAGTCCCGGTGAGAGTTGAGTCCCGGTGAATCGGTAGGCACTGCCGGGTCTTCAACTCCTCGGGGGGTGTTTCTCAACTTTCGTCTTTCTTTCCGATCCTGATGGCTTCAGGTTCTGTGGGAGCTCGCGCTGCGTACATTTGGCTATGGGAAACCAAATGATCGCTGGTTACATTTAGGGCTGATCCGGGCAGGCAAGATGCCTCTTCAAGCCCAAGTCTTTCTTCTGCCTTAAGCTAGGGTGCCGCAACTTGGGGATTTCAGAAGAGGTTCTGAATGGGTTTTGAATGGATTCTGGAGAGGTTCGGAAGAGGCTCTGGAGGTGAACAGATCTTGAAGAGCCTTTGAAATTTTCGTCACAGAGGATCCGAAAACTCGAGCTTCTTCCCAAGAACAAATGCATTGCAATTGATTATCAGAAGGTTGCAACGAACGGAAGTCAGCATGAAGCTGTAATGCTAGGCTCATTGTGGTGGTGTTGCTAGCACTTTTAACAAGCCGAGGAGCAGAGAGACTAGATGGATGGTGGGGAAATGTTTACAAATCAGATCGTCAACGTCATCAGGTCCGACGTCTGTTGACAATCCCCTCACCAAAACCACCACCACGGGCTGCTCTGCTCAAGTTTCGTGTTGATATCGCGGAAACTAATCCTTTGAAACCTCAGAGGGATGATCATTTTAGTTAGGCGGGCAGATTCAACAAAACACCATAAGTTACAGCGACAAGAGACTAAAAAAGTCACAATGGCACCAAACACCATGAAAGCAGTCGGTAAGATTCCTCCAACCTACTACCAGCACATCAAAAACCCAAGCTCTCCAGATAGGTACCTATCTGACATCCCAACCAAAACAGACATCAAAAACGGCAAAGGCTCCGCAGACGCCCTCTTCATAAACCCTGACACTCCCATCCCCCAAGTTCAGCTCGGCCAAGCCCTTGTCAAAGTCAAAGCCTTCGGCCTCAACCGGATGGACCTGATCCAGCGCGAAGGCCACTACCCTTTGCCTCCCCAGGCGCCCAGCACGTTGGGTGTCGAGTTCTCCGGCGTCATCGATTCCTTTGGTGACGGTGACCACGGCGATTTCAAGGTCGGCGACGAAGTATTCGGCCTAGCCTACGGCGGCGCCTACGCCGAGTACATTGCTGTCTCATCCAAGATGCTCTTGCACAAGCCGGCGCACTTGAGCTTCGAGCAGGCGGCGGGCGTGCCGGAGACGTGGATCACGGCGACACAGGCGTTGCACTTTGTGCTGGGTGGGATCGGCGAGGAAGGGAAGACGATCTTGTGGCATGCTGGAGCTTCGGGGGTGTCGATTGCGGGCATTCAGCTCTCGAAGCTGGCGGGCGCAAAACAGATCTTTGCGACGGCGGGCACGGCTGATAAATGCAAGTTTATCGAGAACGAGCTGGGGGCTACGGCAGCGTTCAATTACAAGGAGCAGGACTGGGTCGAGGAGATCTTGAAGAAGACGGATGGCAAGGATGTAGATTTGGTCGTTGACTTCATTGGCGCCAGTTACTTTCAGAAGAACCTGGATGTGGTTGCGCGTGATGGGCGCATCTGCATGCTGGGACTGATGGGCGGTGCTGTAGCCGACAAGGTCGACATCTCCAAGCTACTCTACAAGAGGGCCCGCGTGGAAGGGAGTACTTTGAGGAGCCGCGACGAGAACTATCAGGGCCAGTTGAGGGACAAGTTGAGCGAGTACCTGCCCAAGTTCGAGAGCGGTGATCTCAAGATCTTTATTGACACTGTTTTTCCCTTTGAAGAGATCGTCAAGGCTCACAAGCAGCTTGAGGCGAACAAAACCATGGGCAAGATCATCTGCACTGTCTCATAGACGGCAGTAGCAGCACAGGACGGAGATTGCGTCTAGTTATTCCCCTCTGCGACCATTCGCCAACCAGCGTTGCAAGCAAATCATCAAGATACCCATTTGCCGTACCCATTTGCCATAATCTATCGAACGTCGTACCTATAACCTTCCATCTGAGCGCCGAATACAGTAGGAAATGCGAAACCTCAACAAGACATTTTTAATGATCTGCAAGCCAATGTAGCATCTGCTCAAAAGCGGTAGCTTGCGCCTCCTTGATATGAGCATCCTCATACTCTCCCACAACGGCAAAACCTGTTATTCCTTCTGTTAGCGGGGACAATACTAATATTTGCGGAGGCAGATGATAGCTTACCATGTGGCACACCGGGATATACCTGTACCTCATGTTCGACATTGTTCTCGCTCATGTAATCCTCGCCCGCGATGCGCACCTCATTCGGGAAGACGGGGTCATTCTCCACCGAGACCATACTGATGGGGGCCTTCAGACCCTTGAAATCGTCCTTGGACACCAGCGTCGCATGCGCGATCGCTCCCGCTTTGATCCACGGACCCGACGTTTTATTCTGTTTGTTCGCTTCGAGATCATCACCGCTCTGGTTGTTTTCCCCACTGCTGCCCAAATCGGTAGGAACAGGAGCAGGAACAGCAGGCTTATGTTGCCATGGAAGCGTAATTCCGCTCAACCTTTCACTGATCGAGGCCTTCCGAGGAGCAGGAGTCTCCTGGCGCGCCAGCAGGAGAACATATCGACCGCCGATGCAGTATCCGGCCGCATAAATTCCGTCGCCGTAGGCTACCGCATCGGCAAACTCATCGCGCACCCCGTCCAAGACCTTCTTCAGAATGGGCATGATCTTGTCTTCGGTGTGCCGGGCCAGCCACATGTCGATGAGGAAACTCTTGGCTGTTTCGGCGGCTTTGATCTTGAAGATGTCGAGAAACGATGATGTCGTGGCAGTCGAGCCCGTGCCTGCGTCAGTGGTAGGGAGCTCTTCAGGGCTTAGTGCAGTTGTCGAGTTGGGCGCTGGGTCACCTTCGAAAAGATCGGGCATAACCACGACGAAGCCGCCATCTTGGGCAAACCTGTCGGCTTGGATCTGATTGTTGACGCTATGAAGGCCGGTGCCGCCAGTCAGGAGGAGGAGGAGCTTGGATGGAGTGTGAGGGTAGTCGGCCGGTTTCGAGACGTATACCTGCGAGTGGAAGAATGCTTGTTAGACTTATAATGGACAGTATGTGCGAATGCCAAAGTAGGAACTGAAGAAACACGAACATCAATATCATTGAGCTTGATGATCTCACCCGTTGATTTTTGTCCAGCAGGAGTAGGTCTGTCTGAGGTACAGTTATCGCACAAAGCCGGAGCTGGCGCGGCAGCAGAGGTCAAAGACGAATCGACTGTATTATAAGGTACAGTAGTATGCTCTGTAGGCTCGGCGACGGGAATGTCCTCGAGTGCGTCGCTCTCTGGAGATTTGGTTGCTACTTCTGGATCGGCCATGATGGTCACTTGGTCAAAAGAGGGAGGAAAACGGAGATGTTCAGGTTGTGAAGATTGATTGGTATTGCGGAAGATGAAAGTTATAAAACAACAGAAGTGCCGAGGAGAAACGCCGTGGAGGTTGATGGTCAAGTTCAAGCCAACAGATGGAATGATACGATCAAAGGCAGCATGACACGGTGCGGGCAATCAAGCACCAAGAGCGCCAACAATGGAGCGGAATCTCATCTCACGCTGGGAAGGAAGCGAGTGGTCCGTTGCTGATCCTGGGGTCCTGGAGGTGGAAGCGGAAGGAGCACTGAACACTGAACAAGTGAACACAGCCCCTCAGTGACGTACCCCGCTGCTGACCTCAAGGGTTAGGGTTATTTGAATGCACATGTCATTTCTCTCCAAAGCGCATATTGATGCACAAGTTTATGCACATATGATTGACGGCAAGTGCAATGTATTGCAATAATTGTGAATGTGCTACCGGCCCGGGGCTCGCGTCGCGTTTCCACTTTACGCGTGAAATGGTTGAACCGCGTCCCAACGAATGTGACGGTGTCTTCAGGTCATACCCCTGTCCCAACCTTCTTGTCTTGGCTCTGGTATTCTTCAAAATCCACTTGCTTCAGTATTTCGTTGCTAGGACAATATCTAAACAATGGTCCCCGGTGCCAGCCTTTAAACTTCAAAGTTATTCCCATTCTACCATTAGACCCCATCACCAGCTATCTCCAGTTACTCCGTCAACGAATTCCATACGGTACATCAACATCATCAGCATCAATATCATCAACATGCCCGGCGCGACTTCCCGTAGCACACGATCCGCCCGTGGGAAGCTGAGCCCAAGTAAACAAGCTCCTCCCCCCGATATTAGCGATTTCGCTCGTCTTGCCAAAAATCAACAGAGCCCTAGCAAAGACAGCACCTCGAAGAAGCGCACCCAAGCCGAAACCACACGTACTTCCTCGATCGAGATTGTTCTCAGTTCACGAAAGAGAAAAGTTAACGATGACTCTGATCTTGAATCTTCACCAACCATCTCCAAAAAGCTCCGCCAAAAGAAGAGCGAGGAGACGAAGGGCAACGAGAATATTGCTCCTTGCGAAACTCCACGCAGGAAGAAGAAGACCGTGAGGTTCGAGGACATCGTGTCGGTCAAGACCGATCAGAATAACGAAAATAAGAAGCTGGACTTCAAAGCCACACCGAACCTCCGTGCGCCAGCCATCTCCGCAAGTCGAAAGCGGCGGCTGCTCGAGGAAGACGACGAGCCCCTACAAAAGAACAATTGCGATGCTACAGAAGCCGAGGAACTATTGGGTCGCTTGGCGCTCCAATCGCCCGCGAAGAGGTTGAAACATCATGTAGGCGAAAGCAGCGAACTCGTCCAGTTGCTCGACCTCCAAGCCGCGTTCCTCAAAACTTATACAATGCAATTGGCGCACAACGGCTCCAACTCACCGGTCGACCTGCGGACACTATTGCCCAGCGTCACCCGAACCTGGGGCAAGCGCAAGGTGACGATCGAGGATATCCAGCGCTGCATCGGCGTTCTGAACTGGGTATCATCTGCAAAGTCCGCGGCCACCACAACAGCCCCCTTCTACCTCTCCGACTACGGCCGCGGCAAGATCTGCATCGAGCTACAAGAGAGCCACACGGGCCCTCTCCACGAACACAAGCTCAACATGGACTTCGAGTCCAGCCTCAGAGCCCTCTGGAACTCGCGCCGACCAGGCCAAGTTGCCTCACTCTTCCTCAGCACCCTTCCACAGGCACCGATCAAGGCCTGTGCGTCCGCGATCAAAGCCGCCTCCCTCTTGAACAAGAACCAGCGCACGCTCGAAGAACTCAAGAACGGCGTCGTCCGCAAGCAACAATTGCAACAAGAAACGAAGCAGCAGCCCATAACACCTCCTGCTCCTCTCAAGCCTGACGGTACCAAACTCTCCCTTCTCGACCGCATCCGTCTCAAAGAAAACCAGGCCGCCCTCGCCGCTCTGACTGGTCCCTCGGCCGCTGAGCTCGCGCGTCGCGCCGCGCTTCAGCGAGCAGAGGACATCGCAGCCGTGATCGGGATGTTGTGCACGGCCACGGGCGCACAGGCACGTATGGCGTTTACCATGTCGGCGCTACTTATTAAGCTCAAGGACTCACTGCGGACGCCCACCTCGCAGGAGGACGCGGCGACTTGCGTGCGCCTTTTGGCGAGCGAGGTGGCGCCGCAGTGGCTGAGGATCGTGACGGTGGGTGGGAGGGAGAATGTTGTTATTCAAACGGCTTTGCAGCCGAGCAAGACAGAGGTTGCGCAGAGGGCTAAGGCTTTGTTGGGTTGAGTGCAATGCTACGAATAAATTGGGCGAGGCTGCCCCATGTGACAAAGTAAATGCCGAAGATGCAAATATGGATCGCCAGAAGCTGAGTGAATGAACTTCGGAGGACAAAGTCGTGTCGGACATTTAAAGCATGCGATATTGTTTGGGAGTTTTGGTGTTTCCTTGGCTGCTGGATATACCCTTGTTGTATCCTTTAGTTGTACATATAGAGATAGAGCATCTGGTGTTACTGAGGGACAAATGACAAACATTGGCATACACGGCGTCAAACCAGTCAGACATGTACGCAGGGCATGGCACAGATGAGGAGACAAGAAGCAGCGTAATGAAGAAACATGGCAAAGTGAGACGAATTCGAAAAAGGTCTATTTTATCCCGTCGTCTATCGCAGAACAAAGGACCCGTGATATCTTTCAGCAAACGCCTTCCCTCCGAGAAAGCAGTATAAGCAATGCCTTCCAAAAAGTGCAAGACACCCTCGCTTGAATGTAGATGTATGCAAATAAAAAACCAGGTCATCGGCACATATTCTTATATGATGTTGTGCCCTTCGACCCTCCCTCATCATCATCATCCATCATGCAGGCAACAGGATCCTTTTTGCTGCGTCCATGCGCATCATCTTTCCTCCTAATGATTACAATCGTGTAGTAGCACGTTCCCAGGGCGCCGGTCCCAGTCAAGCGCGGAGGTTTTGCCGCGAATCAGAGACACAGTCCCGAGCTGGCCGAATGTGGCCTCGGTACCGGCACCTGGGGGAGCGAAGACCCTTTATGAGAGATGGTTCCATTAAGAGGAACACGCTCACTTCTTCTCCTTCTTCTCGAACTTGGGCTTGCCGATATCGGAACCGCGAAGCTTGACGTTGAGGACGCGCTCGAGGTTGCCGAGGAGCTTCTGATCGGGGACACCCTCACCGCGCTCGTACTGGGCGATGATGGCCTGGGTAGAGTTGCAGCGGGTGGCAAGTTCCTTCTGGGTCATGGCCTTGTCGCCGATCATGATGGCGCTGCGAGCCTTCTGGATGGCGGCACCGACCTCCTTGCTGACGGTCTTGGGCTTGATGATGTCGTCGGAGCGGTCAACCATTGTTAGGCGCTGACCTTCGACACCGGGCTTGGAAGCCTGTTGCAAGACAGATAGGTTAGCACATGTATGACGGCGTTCAAGATGATGTTTGCACCGCAGCGAGCGTAACAACGAATAGAGGAGCATGGGGACGATGAATACGTACAGTGTTGCCGGCGCCATACTTCTTCTCAGTGGCGATGATAGCACCACTGCGCTGAGCAGCGTTAAGGGCAGACTTGCCGCGGACAACGGTCTCGCGGGGACCAGCACCACCGCGGCTGACGTTCTTGCCGATCTTGACAGCGTCGGTATCCCAGGCAGACATTTTGACGGTATTTATTTGGTTGTTGATGGGTGTGGTTGGAATCGAAGTTGTTGTTGAGATGCGATTTGGAGTCGTGATATCAAAGTACGCGAGAGAAGGAAGAGGATTGCTGATAATGGTGGGGTGGATGTCGCGCCTGAGAAATATAAAGGTGCCAGGTGGAGAGGCTGGAGTGGATTCAGGGAATTCAGGGCCCTATGTGCTACGTAGCGGCAAACTGGACCGTTGGTTTTGGTGATGGAAGACGGGGGAAAAGATGGGTTATTTGTTCTGTTGCTCGCCAGTTGGTTTAGATACTTTAAGTACAGCAAAGAGAGTGAGGCAAAGTTGACAAAGAAACCGAGTTTATTACTATTGCAACTTGTCTTTTGTCAGCCGTAACCACTGTATCAGCCACTCGATACCCGCCGGTGAAACCGTCCGCTCGCCGAAACATGCGATACGTGGATGGAATGCGATGGGCTGCCGTCGAACATTGGCACGGTGGGCGGCACTTGCTACGATGGCGAGTGATGACTCGAACGGCCAAAGCGACTTTCCCCGCCACATTGAGGCTGATTCATGACTTTCCATTGGCCAAATCCTTCACATAGTGGATCCTCAAAGGGAGGCCTGGGCACACGCACAGTGACCGACGGCCAGGTTCCTTTCGGCGGGTTTGCGGCAGCATGGGCAGGAACCATGACGCTCAGCAGTGGATCCTTGCGCTTCACGACTCCTCCATTCCCTTGTGATCTTGTCAGATCCTCACATCCCAAATGTGGAATGAATAATGGTGATGCTCCGTCCCGGCTGGCATAGTTCACACATCGCAGAACCGTCAGTCTGTGGCATCGGTGCAAGCCCTCGTTGCTTCACCGCGATTTCTCGTTCGGATGAGAACATGAAGAACATCCATAAAATCGAGCAACAGGTGGAGACAACACAAGTTCAGACTGCCCTGACCCGACTGGATATTCGAGCAGCTGAACAAGTTGAGGTTCCTGAATACCTATGACTGCGGGCGCTTGCTCCTTAGCTCCCTTTCCCCACAAACCAAGACCTGTGATGGAGTCGAGCTCCGTCACGATCATTCACGAAAAGGGAATTTTCATCCTGACCTCTCTGCCTATTGCGCCTTCTCTTCCCTATCAATCACCGTTCATCGCTCCTTCCGTTGGGAGGAAATTAACGCCAGCCGCGTGGGAGGCTGACGTGGTCTAGACTGTCGTTAGTCACATATCATCGAAGGTGAGATGGGTCAATAGTGGGTGCCCGCAAACGGCATGAGTGATAAGAGCGGTCTTATTGTAGGCAAGTGTCCATCAAGGTACTCATGATGCACGACGCCAACCACGTATAATACTTTAAGTTTCTCCGTTTCTCCCAACACCACTCGGACTTTCACTCTCGTTCAACCAAAATTAGAAGTTGTTACAAACCCCCGTCAGGGACACGTCTCATTCAATTCGACCTCCCCAAGCAGGCGGGCACCTGCTTTCTTTCACTCTTTTTAGCTTTATTTCTCCTATGAACGGCCTGTCTGGGACAGCCGCGGTCGGCTCTCTCGTCAACTACGTCTGCTTTCTTACCCTCTACGCCGGTTTCCTTGACGCAACGCTGCTGGCCTTTTTCATTCTCGTTCGCAATGGCCTTTTCGGCGGAACTACAGTCGAGATATGCAGGGGAGTTGCGGGGATATTCGTTGCCGCCGCAGTCATTTTCCTACTTTTGCAGCTCCTCCAGCTCTTCCGACTTCGATGGGCAAGTGTCGAAGCTACAGAATGGAACGGGCCAGGACAAGTTCTTCTTCTGCCATGCCGGACGACGCACACGAGACTCAGCCCGAAAAGTCACACATTTTCTTACGCCTATCTTGTCGTTGGAGTTCCTGTCGGCTACCGAGGTAACGCGGCCAACATGGTTTCCGTCGGAGTCGAGCAACCATCGGACTGGGCCTTATGGTTCTCGTCGTCATCACTACAAAAGGGATGGTTCCACGTCGATGCCTCTGACTATTTGCAGCGCCAGGGCGGAGAGTTGACCCTGCGCGAGAAGCTCGATAGTTACCTTCAAACTCAGGTACGCAAACCCGACCTCCTTCCATGATGTATTCACTAACCCTTACAGGGCGTTGATCCGGCAACATATCCTCACGCCTACTTGGTTACAGCAGCTCGATTCCTCTGCTATCACTTCAACCCTGTTTCCTTCTGGTACCTATACGATTCACAGAATTCATTAGCCGCCATGATCCTGGAAGTGAACAATACCTTCGGTGAACGACACATGTACTTCTTGAAAAGGGATCATGCACCGGGTATTTTGAACTATCACCTACAACACAACCTGGCGGATTGTGAGAACCAGGACCCGGGTGCGATTGAAGACCAGGCCTACGGAATCCCCTTCACACAGGCATGGCCAAAGGTTTTCCATGTATCGCCATTCAACTCACGCAAAGGATATTATTCCATGATAGCCACCGATCCTTTAAGCCTTCGGAACAATGGCAAACCAATAGTCGATGTCACCATTAGACTTTCAACCTCGGAAGGCCACGACAAATTGGTGGCCAGACTTCACCATGAGGGCCCGGCCATTGACCCGTTTTCCATGACTACTTACCAGAAAGCCAGATTCATAGGATCCTGGGGATGGGTTGGCTTTGCTACTGCCCCCCGTATCCTCCTGCAAGCTCGCGCGCTGTACTTTTACCGCCAGCTTCATGTTTGGTTTCGTCCTGAGCCTTCCAAGGGGACCATCGCCCGGAACGCCAATCCCATTGAGTCTCAACTGGAGAAAGTCTTTCGAAGGTTCTTGCGACATCTGGTTGAAGGAGCAACTATCCCCCTTGAAGTCAGCTACGTCGCGAGCGGAATAGCCCATGACACTGAAAGGATGCTTTCTCATAAGGCCACTGACGACAAGACCAGCATTGAGACGCTTGAGTTCAAGGTCCTCACGCCTGCGTTTTACTCGAGATTTGTGTACTATGCACACGACATAGAGGCCTTCTTCAGTGAGATGGACGAAAGTTGCACCATATGGCTGTCCAACCCAAAGGTTTTACCGGCGCTGGCTCTGCGGAAAACATTTCCACCGCCGTTGAGCGTCACGAATCCCTGGGAATTCTTCGCCTTCAAGTGCATTCAACACCTGCGAAGACGACCCGACCCCATCGAGAGGCCATTGACCTCGAATGCAGTCCCACGTACGAGACAAGCAGCAATTGATATTCGAAACTTCCGTCCTTCGTTTATGGACGCCTACGTCCTGACACACGAGGATCCTGCCACTAAAGCTGCGTATAAGGAGTGCGTCTTGAAACTGTTCTTCGCAGAGAGGATTGCGTTCGGATATGTGTCGGTTCTCGAAGTCCAGCGATTCGTGACATTGGCATGGTTTGCATGGATGCTCGCACGCCCCCCTTGGAGTAGCGGTTGCTAACAAAGATCTGTTGTTGAGAGGAGGTCGCGCTGGGATGGCGAGCGGTTAACGGAAACAGAGGGCATCAGTTTGATGGTCGGCAGCCAGTTTGGGTTGTGGTGGTCTGGGAAGGATGCTCGACTTTGGCATTGAACCTTTGGCTTGTGGTCGAAGGGAAGGAAGCAGTAGTCATGTTTTCAAGGGCATTCTGTCGAAGCCGAGTGCAGCAGTTCATGCTACCTCTAACATTTGCGGTGAGTCTTCTTGATATTTGGGAATCAATGACTAACCGGCAGGCTGCTCATCTTTCCATCTTGGACCTAGATGGGTGCTAGTATTGACCATGGGAATAGACAGACCGTTCCACCATTCGGAGTTTTGTTCCGTACAAAGTCCATCAGGGCGGAGTTCTGATTCCATAGCCCGACGCCGAGCATATGAGATCTCATGGATGGGATCTGGAGTTCGAGTAAACGGAATCTCCGCTGTATCACTTCTTTGCATGGGATTACATGCACTCGGAAGCAAGGTAAGCATTGCAAAGAGTTGCGGGTTACACAGGCCAGACTCAAATCCGAATGTTATCAATTCCAAATCATGATGCGGGAAACACAGTGTTTGGGCGTTTATGCTTGCGCGTACCCCTTGTATTAACAGCCAGCTAAGGGGTAAGCAGTCGGTGGAGCCCCGTTTACCGGCATCCCCAACGTGGGGTTCACAAAAACAACAATGACAAATTGAGTCGGTCAAGCTCAACAGCCTTGCGGGTTTCCAAATACTCCAATAGAGCCAGATAACGCACCCCTTGACAAATATTGGTACGAACTTGGCTTCGGGATCATCACCCTTTGGAGTTATCTCGGGCCATGGTTCACTCGTCACGGTAGTTGGTTTCTTGAGGTTTACGGTGAAGTCTCTACCACCCCGGATAGAACATCATACCTTCACCCCACTGCCACAGGTGCTGTGCCTCTCTGCGTTCGCTTTACCCACATGAAGGAGGACGTCTGAGGCAGCTAGCGCAACTCCCACGATCTGGCATACCGGATGACATACACGTATCTTGGAGGACCTTGGTCTTTTCGCTGTCATATGTTGGGTAGCTACGTGGAAGCTCTTTGGGAGCTCTTCAGCAAATGAGGCCTCAAAGTATTCAGAGACTATAGCCTTCGTTGGCGACTTGGCGGATCTGTCACTCTTGCCCCGCTAAACTACCTACCCCGCATGCACCTAGTGATTCTAGGCGACCAACCGAACCTAAAATGTCAGCAAAAGTCCCATATTTGGGTACTTTTGTGTTGGTTTCGGGAATATTCCAGGGATACCAATGGCTGGACGATCATGTACAGATTACTGACGTACAGGCCATGTTCACCCACCCGGAGAGCGGCAACCCCTATTACCCAGGGTAATTGTTTCAATTGTCTAACTGGTCTCTAGAACCTCTTACATGATAGCCGCGCAGCTACTTACCCAGTATGTGATATTCATATCCAGCCTCGTGGGAGCTCACCGTCAACTTGCCGTGTTGGTGGGTAAAGAGTGGGGTTTGAGACCTTGTCTGTAGCAGTGTGGAGGACAAGATTACCATGCGTGCAGCGTGGAACCGATTCGCCGTTCTCTGAGGCGTATGCCAACTCCTGTCTTCGAACGGCGAAGCTGTGAGATTGATGGAGCTTCGGGCTTTGATTACGGAGACCATGATTTGAGTTTCCCTAATTGATAGGACGGGAGCGAGTTGCAGAGCGCTTCGTGCATACGTACCTACTACGTCTGTCATGCTCCAACTTCTATAAGAACCAAGTGAATTCCTGTCAGGAACCACCTTCATCCTCAGTTCATCATCCACCAGCTTCCTATAAATCCCACCAGCTCTATCATCTTCAGTCCTCGACTCTTTCGTCCGGACATCTTCCTCAACTCAAAGCCTTTTTCAAGTCAACCCCCCCACAACCGCCAACATGCCTCTTACCGGTCACTGCCTTTGCAAGGCTGTCACTTACACCGTCAAGGACACCGAGGAGCCCCTCCTCACTGGCTATGATCACTGCGATGACTGCCAGCGTCAGTCCGGCTCTACCTACTGTAAGTCGCCTTCCAAGACGATTGAACATCTTGGATGTTTGCCTCTTTCAGAAACGGGATGGGTGAAAGGATTGCTCTCATAGCAGAGACTTTTCTCTCACCGCCGAGCTCGGCATGGCTCCCCCATCGAGCCAGCTCGGCAGCTCCCACTACCCCGCCCCACCCCCGCAATATCTCTCTACATTGTGTTGCAGCTGCAGCACTGCACAGAAGTTTCAAGCTGTGGTCTTAGCTTTACCTACCAACTATGAGCCCCAGCAGCTTTCATGGTTGAAGGGCTGCTGGAATCGCCTCTACCTAGTCACATAACCCGAACCCTGATACATTCATCCCCCCCTTTCCCCTCGCCCTTCGCCATGACTACCCGATTTAAGACTTGAGCACAGATGAACTAACACACACAAAACAGCCCTCGTCGCCGTAGTCCTCAAGGACAAGCTCGAGGTCAACGGCCCCATCAAGAAGTGGAAGGGCACCGCCGACTCCGGCAACGCCGTCTGGCGCTGGTTCTGCGAGGAGTGCGGCTCCCCCATCGCCCACGACCCCGAGGCTGCTCCCGAGATCATTGCCCTCAAGGCCGGCTCTCTCTCTACTGAGATAAAGAAGAATCTTAAGCCCGTACGTTGTTCTTCGTACAACCTTCCTTCTATCTTCGTAAAGGTAACTAACGGTCACGACACAGGACACCGAGATCTGGACCAAGAGCAAGCTCCCCTTCTGCCAGGAGCACTTGGCTAAGCCCTTCGAGGGCATGCCCCAGTAAACTGGCGACTTTGGGCCTTTTGTCGATTTGTGTGAATTAGATTCATGGGTGGGCGTTTGAGATATGAGAAATGAGATACCTGGGCGAGCGGTTGGTTTTGGGATAGCATACTAGGTCCTGGACCGATGGTGGTGGCGGCGGCGGCGTAGATCATGATTTGAAATGAAACGGAAATGAAATAAAACTGCAAAGTACCAGTCTGCTTTTGCGATGGTAGCGTCGTGTAATGGGGAACTCATACTTGTACTGTTTTGATTGGATCCATGGCAAGTCAACTCTCAGCACGAAGCTTGATTAAGTCTGACCTCGTTTGATCTTAGAATTACTCGACTCTTTCTTACTTCCAGACTTCACGTAAACTTGAGCGCGGCGAACCATGGCATTTTCATTATGTAACTGGAAGTTCGGACTGACATAGTCAAAATATCTGAACCAGATGTCTTATATTGTCCCCTCAGACCGTCGTCTCATATCGTCTCTTCATTATCATCATCATCTTCTTCATTATCGGTGTCTTCCCATTTACCTTATAGCATCATCGCAACTGCCATCGCAGCAGCAACGCCAGCAACACCCGTGATACCAGCCTTTACTCCTACAGCACCATTAGGCTTCGAGGAGGTTTCAGCAGCGGCCATGCCGCTAGGACCGCTAGCCGACGAGCTTTCGGTCGTGGTAAGAGGCCCTAGGCGGGAAGTACTCGTCGTCCCATCCTCATCATTGTCATCACCCTCATTGCCCGCATTCGTAGTCTGCGGCACCAGCGGCGCATCAGTAGCAGTAGCACTCAGTGCCGACCCTGTGATTTTCCCGGGACCCTGGCTGATCGTGGTGGTCATGTAGTAGCTGATGTCCGTCTTGCTCACGGCCTTGTCACTGCTGACGGTGGCGCCGTCAGTCGGCTCCGGGACCACGTAGGCCACGCTGGAGAAGATGTCGCGGAAGATGGCCGTCGGCGTGGCAGCGCCGCATAGGTCAGAGGACACGGAGGAGAGAACCTCGACGTAGCGCTTGGCATCGCGCTCGGAGCGCAGGCCGTGAACGAAGAGACATTGTTGGCAGAAGGGCCATTCAGTGAAGAAGGAGCCGCCGCACATGCCTTTGGGAGTGTGTTAGTGGGTTGTCTCCATTTATCTTTACGAGGGATGAATGAGGTCTTGCTTACATTGTTTGTGAGCCTCCAGAGCAAGGGGTGAGGTTCCGTTGGGGGCGCACTGGGCCTCGATGTTCTCCAGACTGATGCAGGGAGGGAGGGGACCGTTGGATCCCTCCTTCCCCGGAGGCCGGCAGACAGTGATCTCATAACCATCATCGGCACGTGCGAAGAGAGAACCGACGATGGAGTCTGCGCTAGGGTGTGCGCTCACCAAAGGCGCGGCGAGAAGAAGTGCTGGAAGCACGGAGGGGATGGAAGAGGACCGCATTGTTGAATGGTAGGTTTGTAGCCACTTGACAGTTGGAAGAGGAGAACAAGAACGCGAGCAAGAAAGATGGAGTTTTTGCTTATACTTATCAAACGGCGGCGGCGGCTGCTATACAAATATTCATTTATTCCCGTGAATCACCCATGCTTTGTCTCGCTTGGTCTCTCCAGGCACCGACGTTGTCCGAGACACCAGTCCAAATATGGATGTTTTTGATAGAGGTATCAAGACCCTTTTGACCATCTTTGGTTTGGTTCATGGTACCTTGCGTTGCATCTGTGACCCAGCTGCATTCATCGGCACCGGCAAGCCGGAGTTGTGTGTGCTGGCTTGGATCTCACGATCATGTCTGTGGTGGAGAGATCGACTTTAGAGTCGTGAATCTTGGCAGGGCCGTCGACTCCTTCCCAACTTTTTCTGGTGCTCTGCAGTGCAGAGGAATCTGAGGAAAGAACCGTGCAGAGGACAGGGATCGTTCTGAGCCGATAGTATGAACTTATAACGAGGAAAAGGTCGATGTGCTGGTCGTGCTTTCTCCTACACCTTAGCCACCTTTCCTTTCACCCCAAGGAGAAATGTCAAATTCTCATCAATCAGAAAGCACGATCCATTCATGACTGAAGAGAAGTCGCTCAGGATCCCGACCATGCGAATTTCTTCGGTTCCTCTGATGCCAACGAACTGAACAATCGACAAGGGACTTACTTTTCCTTATCCAGCATGCGTCATCATTCCAGCCACACACTTGTTGGCCCGAATCGACCGAGACGCAGATGATTTCGCAGCACCGCTGAAATCTCATGCGAGAATCTCGACTTCTTCCATCATCGTGTATCAAGTCCCCCCGTGGATATGGGCGACGAAGCGCAAAAGTCAATACTCAGAACCGCCGTACGACGGTGAAGCGAAACGCTGCATGGAACCTTGTGTGTTTGATACCACCACCGACCAACTCGCCTAACTTTCCTCTTTGGGACTTGGCTTGCTTTTGCTTCTTAACTTCCCCCCCTCTTGGCGAGTTCTCGCCCCAAACCGAGAGACGTTTTTTTTGTTGCCGTTGGTGACTTCACAGAGAAGACACACACCACTGTCGCCCACTGTGAGCAAAGACAACAACGGCAATATCCAGAACACTGCATTTCCAATTCCCACTGTTCATATGTCGTGCAGGTTCAGTTCTTCGCCCCGCCACTAGGACCAGTCCGGAGGTCTGGGCCGCTGTGCCACCGGGAAACCCTTTGCCCGTTGCAACGGCACGTTGCTTGAGAATAATGGAACCTCAACAGGTAGCCAGGCCCCCGGATCCTTCAAGTCACCATTCCTCGGCGCACTTACATACAGCGACGGGATTTTGCAGGAGAACCACGCGCCTTTTCTTTTGTCAACTGGCGCAAATTCAATGCTGACATGCCGTAAGATCTTTACGTAGTGAAGTAGTCACTCGCAATTTGTCTTTTTTGCTTGCTTCACGGCCGCATCTGCCCACCCGCCTTCAACACCATTGTCGTCGTCGGCACTCGTTCTCTTTGGACACCATACCGGAGCCGACAGCTAGCCCTGCGTCACCTTCCGAGAGTCATGGTTTAGAGCTGTCTCCTTTGAATACCCACATGCCACCGACCATCTTCAGGATATAACAAGACTCTAGTATAGCCCATCCATGACCATGATAGAGGCTTCGATCCGAGTCCGAGTCCTGGCCTTGCTCGTCTGGCTTATACCGGCCGTTGTTACCGTCGCCGCTTATGAGAACTTTCAGGCCGTGGAAACAGGCGTTCTGATGTCTCCACGATACTTCCAAGAATACGCCGCCTCAAATGCGAGCCCGCTTGAGAAGCGGCAAGGCCAGTTTCAATGCCCCAATAACCAGCACTCGTGTAAGAACTGCCCATGCTTGATTTGCAGGGCTACAAAGGCTGACGAGTCCATCTTGTATAATGTTTAGGTCAAGAGATTGGGAATGGTGGTGCCGGTTTCTGCTGTGGGAACGATCAGTTGTATGTGCTCCTTCCTCCTCCTCTTGGGCTTGGACTGGCCGTATACCTTCACTGGATATGGATGTACCATTGTCTCCTCTTCATCATCTCTTTGTTCTCCCCTTTCTTCTAATTCAACTAGCTAATAAATCCCACAGTTGTCAGGCAAACTCTACTGCTTTGGACAAGGCAGCGTGTTGCGCGATCGGTTCCAACTGCGGTTCTCCCTGCCCGTCAGACATGACCTTATGCGCTTCCACAACAACCATAACGACAAGTGGCACATCCACCGTAAGCCTTTCATCAGCTTGTTGCGCGCGCCAATGCACCAGAACCTCCTTCTACCGCTGCCCGGAATCCCTAGGTCATGGCTGCTGTCCCTACGGCCAGGCTTGTGGCGAAGGTGGCCGGTGCATTGCCACCGTCACGTCCTCGTCCTCACTCAGCACAGTGGTCCCGCTGGTCCCTCCAGGTTGTACGACTAGCCAAACCTCCTGTGATGCCAGCATAGGCGGCGGATGCTGTGATCTCACTCAGAGTTGCACTCAGATCACGGGCAGAGCCTTTTGCGCCGAACGCGCTGCGAGTCCAACCATCAGCGGCATTGCCGAGTTCCACCCCGATCCCGGCCTGAGCGCCGGCGCAAAAGCTGGTATTGCCGTTGGCGTGGTAGTCGGCTTTGGCCTGGTCACCGGCGTCTTGACCTGGTGGTGTCTGCGATCGCGTAGGCGCAGAAGGGCAAGGGAAGCGGACGGCGCAACAGCTAGCACCTCACGTCGCTCAGGGCCAGGTAGAATTATCGGCGCCATCGTTGGTGGAGGGCCGAGAGGACAGCAGCCTATGTCCGAAATCACGTCTGATGTACAGTCTCGACCTGGAGGGACTCAAGATTACTTCGGCCCCGAGGCCGTGGTTGGGCCTTACTCTGAGTCTAGGTTGCCATCGGCGGGCACGACTCCCGGTGTAGATAGGGACAGAGGAGTCCCGCTCCAGCCGCATGGTCCTGGTGATATAGCGGTACCGGTCGAGATTGACTCCAGGATGATGACGGAGCAGGATCATCAAGGGGTCGAGGCCACAGCGACACCGACGTCGCATTATGCTGCGGCGACTGGACAACCCGCAGGTGGTCAAGAAGAGGTTGGAGAGCGGTATGAGCTGTATGGATCTGGGCCTTTGGATATGGAAGGAGGACCGGTATCACCGCTGTATACGGAAACCCTAAGGACGCCATCTCAGGAGGCGCCGAAGCCGGTAGAGAAGTTTTGAGATGCTTTTTGACTTGAAAGGGCGTTGGCGAGTAAACGATATGTTAGGCGAGTTAAAGTTAGCGAATTATAATATGGATAATCAATGTTTTGATACTAGGGTGGCCAATTCATATTCTCCTGCATCTTTGCGAAGAGAATAGGTTGAAAGGGTAGTCTTATGCGACTTATGCCCGAGAGCTCTTTCAGTCAGTCCACAGATTAAGTATAAAAACAGAGGAGACGTTTCAAATCCGCTATGCTTGATTGCTTACTTGCTTTCCCGCGTTTCAAAGAAATGGACCCAAACGAGATATCCCCAAACACCATCAGAAACATACCAGAGATGAACGCCATGTGGTTGAGCACCGTGTCCCTCCATACCAGGAATAATCACTCTCTGGGCGATACGACCAGACCAAGGAGCGTCCTTTCACCCATACAGTCAATCCCATGAAAAATCCAAACCTAACAAAAAATTGGCAAACCAAAGTATAAGAAAAGGGTATGTATGACAAGAGCCCACTCGCGATATTAATCACTCATTCAGTCTTCCCATTCTCCTGCTGCTGCACATTCTCTTCCTGATGAAGCATAATGCGATCCAAGATCTTGTGAATCCCCCCGCTCTTCCCCCTTCCATCATCAATCTCCTCCGTCATCTTCCTTGCTCTCTCCACCAGTACCTTGATGACCTTGCGGGTATACTCAAAGCTACCCGTGGTCTCCATGTACGCCACTGCGTACCGCTTCACTTGCTCATCGTCCGTCTTCTGCTTGAGGATGTTGAGCAGCTGCATGTTGCTCGGGTTCGACCGGATGCTGTGGATGACGGGGAAACTGAACTTGCCCTCCGTCAGGTCCTCGCACATGCCCTTGTTGGCCGTGTACTCGCGGTTCCACAGGTTATGGTAGTCGTCCGCGATCTGGAAGATCAGCCCGATGATGTTGACAAGCGGCACGCAGTCCACCGGCGACCGCGACTCGGCCTGCATCAGCTTGATTCCCAACCGGAACAGGCCGCCCGTCTTGTTGGACACCATCTCCAGGTAGTCGTCCTCGGTGGGGCAGGTGAGCGTGTCGCGCCAGAACAGGTCCATGCCCTGGCCGCGGTGCAGGTTCAGCAGCTCTTCGGAAAAGATGCTGACGGCCTTGGGGTTCTTGAGCTTCTGCAGCTCCTGCAGCGCGTGGAAGTACACGTAGTTGGACGTGTTGATGGTCTGCGGGATGCCGAAGATGGAGTGGGCGACGGGAAACCCGCGGCGCAGGACGCTGTTGTCCTCGACGTCGTCGACGAGCAAGGAGGCCGTGTGCAGCATGCTGATGACCTTGGTGATCACCTCGAGACTTTCCGAGGGCACGTCGAGCCAGGCGTTGAAGGCTTTCACCATTTGCGAGCGTATGTCCTTGCCCGGGTGCCCGTTGAGGTAGTCGTAGGGGCCTGTTAGGACTTTCTCCTTCTCTTCGGACCAGGTGCGCCGCGAGGGGCTGAAGAAGTCTTCGGTCGCAAAACGGTCTGGATTCGGGGGTGGCTGAGGCGGCTGGGGCGCCATCGTGTACGGCGAGAAGGATGTTGGGAGCATGCTGGAGAGACTGATTTGGGCGACCGAGGCCTTGCGTTTACGATTTTGCGCCTGCTGTGTTGAAACCAGACCGGCGGCAGGAGAGATCCAATTGGAGGGAATGGCGAGGGGAATCGGTTGGCCTGGAACGGCTGATGTCAAGGGATTCGAAGAGGTTCTTGGAGGGATGATGGCGGATGGGAACTTGTTGATGTTGAAGGGAGCGAACTCGTCGTTGTTGAAGAGACCGGAAAGCGGGGCGAGGGGAGGTGAGGAGGAAGTTACGGCCATGGTGACGTGTTCCTGTTCTTCCTTTTTATGTTTATTGGAAAACAGTCGGTACAGGAACATACAAGTAAACCCCGTGCGTCGTCCGATGGTCAAAAAGTGGCCGGCGCTCTTATATAAATAGTTCACGTGTTGGTGACAACTGAAGCTTGCTTCACAAGTCACTTGGGCAACATTCGATACCCGCACGCTATGACGATAATACCGCTTGACAGGTCGTGTGCCAATCGGCAAGCAATCGACCTCACTTCGCTATAAGAAGGGGGATTTGCCCTGCTCGCCTGCTAAGGCCAAGAGATCTGTATTCTGGGGTCAGCGAATAATCACGCCAACAACAAGTCCTCCTTGGGCTCGGTTTCAGCAAAGCTTCAGAGAGATTCCATCCGCGATCTTGACATATGCGAGCCATCGTCATTGAGTCCGCGGAACCGATCAAGAAGGGAAACTGCGGGTAGACAAATCGGGCCAAGCTCGGTCGCTGTAGCTTTTTCTCGGATCGCTACCCTGACCTGCCTGCCCTTTCTGCTTTCCCCTGGCGGTGGATGCAAGTGATCGCAAGCGCGGAGACTTTTTAGGCGGCCGACGGAGAGATGGAGTGGGTGGTGTTAGGAATGGAACCTCAAGGGCACCTGAAAATAGCGTGGTGGGGTATCAGATGCGGGGAGCTTTCACAGGGGAGACGACTTTGGAGCTTCACAAGCACAAGCCAGGCAGATCGAACGGGCGATCCCGTCGAGCCCGACTCGCGCTGCTCTTTGTCGGGAGCTCCCTGCGTGAAACTGGCATCTTTTAGGGATGAAAAAGAGTGGCTCTCTTACCTTTACTTTGTGGAAAATCGTGGGAATCTCCGCTCCGGTGTTCTTTGTCAGGGATTTCAGACCGATTTGAATAAACAGAGAATAGGGGTTGAGGTTGTTGTTGCTGGTAAGGGGCTCGTCAAAGATGCAGGCGTGGTGGGATATAGCGAACGAGATCGGCCGTTGTGGACCTCGCGCAAATTAGGAGTATTCCAGAAAAGCGGTCGAAAGCGGATGTTCAACTCTGTTTCCTGCAGGTTATGGATTCACGAACATGTAGGAAAGGGGAAGTCTGCACGCTTTATATCTTTTGGACATCATGTAGGCACTTTCAAGGGATTCAAGGACCGCACGCGTTGACTTTGTGCATGTCTGTCGGCGATGCAAGACCAAAGACATGACACCAGGAAAGCGCCGATGTGAATCAAAGTGAAGATCATGGAGAAACCCCAGAATGTTCAGCTGGGTGGGCAAAGCAGGGCAAGGCAAAATTCATGTGCGGAGTAACGAAAGTCAGAGTACTGTGTGAAGGGCTCGAAATCACCGTGATCGCTTCAGGCTATTCCAACTTCTCGTGGGTTATGTGAACCATGAGATGAGACATCGGCGGAGAAAGATTCCGAACACAAGTGAATTGAGAGCATCATATCTGCTGCACCGAGTTGCAAAACATGAGCCTCTCTTCTTTACTCCGCACTGAACCATGATTCCCAAAAACCTGGACCCGCTGGATTCAACTCATCACACACCCCGCATCCTCCTACACCTGTGAGGCCGAAACATTCATGCATTTGTCGATCATCACAAGGCGTTGGTAGTTGAAATGTTGATGTTGGTCCGGGTGCCGTCTCGGAGCCCTGTTTGCCCTCTCCGGAGAATCCACCTCGGATGCAAGGCGGGCGGGTGTGCGGGCGGGTGCCTGCCCTGTGCAGCTGAGGGCTGGCGACGGCACTGAATCTGGAACCCACCGTGTGCTGATTGCCCAGCGGGAAGCCCGAGGAAACATGCAGACACAGGGAAGTCACAAAGTCAACAACCCCACCTCTGCCCACCATCGCCCACCTTCCCGTCACCTCGTGCTTCCCCAGCTCCGTTCCGATTGCTGTGGCATCCGGCTTCGGGCAGCTCTGGCAGCCTGGGTCGAGCCTGGGCAGCAAGGGACAGCTTATTCCGTTGGTCGGGTTGTTGCAAGTAAAACAGCTACATTCTCGTCGTCGGGTCCCTTGGACTGACTGGGTGTGACTAGAAACACATGGTCGGATGGATGTGATAAAATGGGGGTCCATCTTCATCCCGTCTTTCCGCATTCTGAGTTTTTCTCCATCTTCTTTTCTTTTTTTCTCTCTTTTGCGCGGTTCCTGTCCATCTGCAACTCTCCTGCCCCGTACGCCTAGCGGTCCCCTAAACCTTAGCGCACCGGCTCCCTCCAAATCCCTGGACCGTCGTGGCACCGGCGCCATTACGCTCGCACAAACGAACCAATTCGCATCTTGCGGTCAACATCATCGGATCCACTTCCGCCTCAGGTCCTCGTTCTCAGGCCCAGTCCCAGTCCCGGTCCTCTGGTGACCCCCTGTCTGCGCGCGCACACGCGTGGGTGTCAGAGTGCCATTTGGCTTCCAGTTTTGCATCAGACCATCCCATCCGATCCTCTAGCTCTTGCGCCAGCTGAACCCCTTCCGCGGCGGCGCATTTGGGGAAAACGTTCACTTCTTTTCCCCTAAAATCCAGCCATCTACATCTTACTGAATAGCATCTCTCGACTTCGAATATCCCATATCTCAACTGTTTGTCTAGACGCCGACCGAACTGGGAACGACTAGCGCCAAGAGCCATTCAACCCTGGCATCAACTCCTCTTCTGCCCTGAAGATCTTCGGCGCAGGGGTTGCCGGTCGCATTCACCTTGCGGGCGTCGCAAAATTACATCATAGGCAATTGGGCGCTGCCCATCTTATTCCAAGTATTACCATCTTCATCGTCGATCGATCGGACATCTTCAGCAACCCCTCTCCGAATCCACGAATCCGAAACTCAACCACAAACATAAACTCCGATCACGACACATACAGATAGACAGACACACAAGTCACAACGATGGAGTCACTACTATCGCTCGCTTTCGACAACCTCTCCGCCTTCGAGCCGGCAAAGATCAAGAAAGGCCTAAAACAGGTCGAGGGCTTGCTCGCCCAAATATGCTTATCAGGCCCGGCCAAGAGGGAACAAGATGCGGCTGCGGCCGGGGAACAGGCACAACTACAGCGCAAGGGCCTAGGCGACCTCGCTGGTGACCCAGCCTTTCGTGAGTTCTTCAAGCTACAGGAGGGGTTCGAATGGAACGTCGCCCAGCGGCTGCTCACAACCCTCGACTTTCTGGTGGCCCGAGGCGGCGAGGGGCAGTATGACTTGCTTATCCTCAATGCTTTGGACCTGATCCAAGGTGTTCTCCTTCTACACCCACCCAGCAAGGTCCTTTTCTCGAGGGCTGCGCACATGAATGTAAGTTGCCGACCATCAACAAAAATTAAGAGAATATCAGAACTCCGGCTAATATGCCCTCCCCCAACTTGCAGCTCCTCCTCGATCTGATAGAACCCGTCAACACCCCGGCCATACAATGCGCAACCATCATCACCCTCGTCGTCGCCCTCCTCGACTCCCCCGCCAACGTCCGCGTCTTTGAACGTCTTGACGGCCTTCTGACCGTGGCATCTCTTTTCAAGAGCAGAGAAACCGGCCGCGAAGTCAAGTTCCGCCTAACCGAGTTCCTATACTTCTACCTTACCCCCGAAGCGCCTCCCGCTTCCATGGCGTCGTCACCAACATCGTCATCAACACCCACATCACCGACGAGGGACAGGGCCGGTAGCGATACAGCTAGCCAACAAAGCAGTGGCAGCAAAACCAACGGGGGCGTCACGCTGTCGGTGGATGTCAAGAAGAGAAAGCTTGATCAACATCTTCCGGGTGTCGTTGATGCCTTGTTGAGAGATTTGGATCGATATAAGCCTTTTGGTGGAGTGTTGAGCTGAGCGGGCGCTGTTGAGCTCCCACGTCTTCGTTCTGTTTTAGTCTCTTCTTTCTTTCTTTTTGTTTTCTTCATTGGCTTTTGTTCTTTCTATTATCGGTTTGGCTGGCGAAGCGTGGCGTTTGATACCTTGAGGAATTTGTTTTAGGAGACTATGGGCTTGGTCTATATGGCTGTCTGCGTATTCAGGCACGGTTTGGCTTTTTACATCTTCGGTTGATTCGATGGATGTGTTCTTGGTAGTACCCTCGGATGATACCACTGGGGGCCAAGAGAGAACAAGGGTACATTTCAGGGCTTACTTATCATTCCTATACCTTATTGTTTTGTATTAGTATGGTAATGTTTCTGCATATCAGTAGGGGCAAAGGCAGGCGCTCCAGGGGCTTGGTGCCTTAGGGAAATATGGGCGGTTTTGTGAGGGCAAAAAGGGGCTGGGCACAACAAGGACACGATGAGTAGTTCCCTTGGAATACAATATACCCCTTCTACCTATTCAAATTGCTTGACAAGCTATGACGCAGTAACGCATACGTAAAATCATCTCAGGTTCATCATTCCCATCATTCCCATGGCCGTATACCCAGCAGCCGCAAAGGGCACCCACCAAGACGGGAACCACTAATTCGACGCCCCATTGACATTTCTTCTCTTCACCATCCTCACCCATCTCCTCCTCCGCCAACTTCCCCTCCTTCCCATCCCCTCCTCTCCTTCCTCCCAGCTGATCGTCGGCCCAATCTTGGGCGTATTCCGACTCTGATCCTGACTCCTCACCGGCGTCTCGTAGTCCCCATCCCCCAACGCCGCCCCCAAGTCGTCGTTACCACCGCCACCATCACCGCCATTCTCATGTTCGTTATAGATATCATAAACCCACCTCTCACCCTCCGTCTCGACTTCGACGCCCGTAATGATCCTTTCCTCCACCCACTCCCTACTCCAAAGATCCAATGCCCACTTCTTCCCGCTCCACTCCCACCCCTCGGGCGGCAGCACGTCCTCAAAGAATCTCGTCCCCGTCGGCCGGTCCCCAGCAATCCGCGCCGCAGACAGCGGGTCGTACGGCGACGGACTGAACAGCCACGGCTCCCACTCGCCACTGGTGTCGCTGAGGCGCTGCAGCTCGAAAATCTCCACCTCGCGCGTCTCGGGCGCGTCGTCCAGTATGATGTCCGACCGCACCCAGGCATCGAAGGCCCGTTCCGCCGCTAGCGACGAATCGGCGCTGGGGCCGGGCGGGTGGTTCTGGATTTGTTCCAGCTTCCTGTCGTTGTCGTACACGGCTTGTTGCGTGATGCTTGGTTGTTCTTTTTGGTGGTCGCCTCCTAGATACTGAGCCTGCCACTCACCGATGAGTCGCGAGACGGTGGGGTGGTTAGACCAGATCGCCGCCCAGCCGGCGACGAGGCAGATGTAGCGCCACGGGATCATGTGCGCGGTGACGGTCATGAGGGCGCAGGCGCCGCACAGCAAGACGAAGATGGCAGACGACAGCGCCTCGTCGCTGAAGTTGGTTTTGGGTACAACAAGCGCAATGATCTTGTCGTGGGCCACGCTATAGTCGTCCATAACGTTCTGCAAGTCGCCCAGGTTGCGGAAGAAGTCGCGCGACAGCTCCTTGGTCGGCTTGAACGTTCGCGCAGGAGCTAAGGGAGGACCTCGGGGGCTGTAGCCTAGGTTGCGCACGGCGTGGGCTTCGGACGAAGAAGTAGGGGCCGGGTGCCGCGCGATGAAGGAGGGCACGAAGATGCCGAATAGGGCGATGGCGAGCGGGAGAACGAAGATCAGGTACGGGTCTAGGCAGATGAAGGTGTAGACGGCTAGGAGCGAGAGGGTGTGTGTCGGCCGCCGCCAGGAGAGCACGCGTAGCGCTTTGGCTTGGAACTTGAAGACGACCCCGATGCGCGCGTTGAACCGCCGGAAGTTGTTGGACATAGCGCCTACCGTGAAGCCGGGGCGTTCGCCGAAGGATGAGGGTTCGGCGCTCCCGCCGGCCTCGTGAGGCTGGCCATCGTCTACAGGGATGACTTGGGCGAGAAGTCTGATTTCAGCAAGTCAGTAAGCACTCACGAGTAGTAGGTGGCGGAATATCACCAGATAGGTAAGTAGGTGGGAAGTACTTCTCTAGAAGCTTGTCTTGTAAGTTGGCTGCCTTGAGAATCCCCCGGCGCAATGTCCGGGCCGTGGTGATCGAGTCGGTGCCGGAGCCGGAGCCTTGTTGGCCGTCATCCTCTTCCTGGATTGAGGCGTCATCTCCCGGACCGAGAAAGGCAGCTGCTAAGTCGTCCATGGCTATAAATATCACGCGGTTTTGGGTTGTTACGATTTCGAGAATCTCATTCTAGCCAACTTGCGGAAGCCCAGGGCTTTTTTGGTGAGTTTTCCGTCTGTACTTCGGTTTTTAATTGCCTACGTAACCCCGCTTATGTTTACTACGCCTTGGAAGGATGAAGATAAAATGGGCGTGTGAATGGAGGTTCGATAGGATGAGCAAGCGTAGGGTTAGTGTTGGAGTTGTAAATGGGACGATGATGATGTTGATGATGACGGAATGCGGTGCGAGGTGAGTGAGAGGAGCTGTGCATGTGAAAGCGGTATGCGCGACGGCCAGGGTGACATCTGTTACTGGCCGTTAACAGCCCCGCCCTAGCTTCACTGTAGTCGCCCTGCCTACTAGGCTGTCATATCTCAACCAAATCGACGCTTAGAGGGTGAACAATTTTGGTCGCACCATATCTTCTGTTAGTGTTTAGCGCCGGTCTATAACGTGAACATTCTCGATGAGACGTCATTCGCATCCTGCTCAAAATCCTTAAACTTCACGGCGAGATATCATTTGTCCGCGCCGCAAGTTGTCACAACCAAGCACGTTTCCAGGCATCTCAACGGTCTGTGACGACGGGCAAGGCCCGACCATTGAAGGTGTGGTCGTGAAGTAGGGGACCCTGCATGGCAAGCCTTCATTTATCACTACACCACAGTCCCTGTTCCTGAAGCAACCCACCCTCTCAGGACTCAAGAACAAGTTTATCTTGAATTCACACTTGCCCCGCATCCAACAGCTACTGAAATCCTGAGATCGGGCTTCCAGTTGGGCTTCAGCCAAGCCGGAGGGGCTCCAGTTTTGATCTTCGTTGGCGTCAAGTCCAAGGGGATTTGGCACCAACGACATGTCACGTCCGCACATCTTTCTACCCAACCGTGCTTCTACGGGCCAACATCGTGCCCGCTCTAACCCGCATCAATGGTATCGACAAGAAGTTGTTGAAAGGCGATCTATGTGAAGGTTTGTGAATGAAGATCAAAGAGGTACACAGTAGAAATGAGACGGTGACAACCCTGCAGTTCGTACCTGTCAACCCCATAGTCTACTGTACTGTCAAATGCAGTTCGGCATTGAGGTTCATCTGCCGGATGAGATTGGAAATTACTCGTTCCTACACGGCAAGGCGAGGGTACCTGGCATATTAAGTAGGTAGAGATATTTCTTGAAGCCATCGTGGGACCAAGTCAACCTTGCTTTGCTTTTGTTGTTTTTCATGTAACTTGGGGCAAATATACTAGCTGAACGCAAGGGAGGAATACTGCGTAGGCACGAGAATAAGACCCTATGATCATGGTTGGGTTTCCAGATCTCAACACCACTGCTGCTTGTTAACGTCGGTTCCTAGGTCTTGGCGTCGAGGATGCGCCGAACTATCTCCAGGAACCATTCATAACCCTACCAGAAGGATATGGCAAATGCTGTTTTCTCTCTAGAAACACTTTGAAATTGGACATGTGCCATGTGCTTGTCCTTGCCACGACTCTTCCTTAATATCGCCGCCGCCAGGATCCTCCCTTGGAACGGACATCTCAAATCTGGATGGACCTGGACTGGCTCCCGTCCCGACCTTGGCGTCCCCGCCATCTCTTTCAGACGAGAAGGTCTAGTCTCTGAATGAGCAATGAGCACCACAAAGTTAGGAGGGATTCGGAGATGCACTTTCGTATATCTTATCTCTGTCGAATTAGACTGTGGATGCCATTTAGGGGTGGATATCAAGGGATTGCGGAGAAGAAGAAAAGGAAGAAAAAGAACAAGACGAGGGGAAGGCCTTGAGGTGGATTGGTGCATGTGCATCTTTCCATCGATGTTCTGAATGGGGAGTTCCCGCCGTCGAGTCGGCTTTCTCCTTTTTTTGCTACTTGCGACTTTCTCGGTCCCCACAAAAACATTCCCCTGAGGAGTTGTTGCCCTGTGAAATTTTGGATTGTCGCTTTGTCTCTCAAGTCTCTGTGGAAGAGCTGGAGCAACCTCAATTCATCAAGCGCGGGTAGCGATGACTGGAGGGTAAAACACACCAAGGCTCCTTTATTTTCTAGGGCACTTTTGTTCGTTTCCACCAGCCGCACCTCGTACACGCACCCAGGCAGTTCACGCATGAGAGTTACGCAGCAGCGGCATCACAAGGAACCTGAGTGCTTGATAGATATCAGGTACAGTTGCGGTAAGATGGAGGCTTCTTGCATTTGGTTGACCCGGTGGCCGATGCTAAAGCAATGTTCCAACTGCATTTTAATGTTAAGTGTCTGCTTCATGGCGGCTGCCACTTGCCGGCCAGCAGCCGCTTGATGTCACGCCGGTTCAGGTTCTCAACCTCATTCCATGTTGCTCAAAGGGGAGTTGTCAGGCAGAGCGGGAGACCAGGTACAATCAGAGCCATCATGCCATCTCTTCTTCGCGAAGACGGAGCAGGATATTGCACACATGGGAAAGACCATGGCCAAGGCAGGACCTCATTGGGAGCGCACGCACACACATATTTGGAACTCGCGAGGCACTAGAGCTAAATACCTTAGCGATTACCCTGGCAAGCAGCCTTCCTTGATCAGGCGAAACCAGGCTAGTCGTAGAGAAGGGTAGCGGCCCGGTAGCACCACACAAGAGAGGGCAGACAGACACCTTGCCAGGTCATTAGCACAGGCCCCCAGGGCAAGCAAGGCAACAAAAGCAATTTTCCACTTTGTCTAGGTTCCATCCCATTGTTGCTCCCATTGCTACCATTGCTACTAAACAATTCATCTCTCGCTCGACCAAGCGAACGACGACCGGCTACTGTGTCTCGAACACACGCTCGACGGACGACGATTTCACCCGCGTCCTCGGAATGAGGTAGCGCTCGATATCCATCTCAGCTCCTTGGCCGGACTCTGAGCCCTTGACGAGAAGAAGAAGAGTCTCGCTGATCTGGGCAATGGTAGAGCCCGCGCGCCGTCCTCCCACCCGCATTGGCTGTCGACGACTTGGACCTAGGCTCGACGTCGAATCGACAACTCGGACCGCAAAGGACAGGATACCTTAACAGAGCTGCAGTGGAGAGAACTGAAGCGAACGCACCAACCAACCATCCATCTGAATCCCAAAGAGTGGAACAAACACCATTATCACCACCATCAACACCACCACAGTCCACCGCACCACGACCACGACCACCACCACTACCACCATAATAATCCGTACCGCCCTTCACGCCCACACGCACGCTGCTGTTGCTGCACGCTGCATGCTGCACGCCGGCCAAGCAAAGGTACTACTAAAAGTCTGAAGCAGGCAGACCGCCTCTCGCGATTCCTGTCGCCGGTCTGCCGGTCTCGCCTCGTCCCCCGTCAGCACTCAGCACTCAGCCCTTTCCTAGCACGAGCAAGAGGCTCCGTTCCGTCCCCAGTTGTGGTCGCGGTTGCCCGTACCTATACCGTATACCGCGGCCCTGTCGTCCTGACTGCTTCCGCTCATTGAGGCCCGCCTCGCGCTGCGTGACTCCATAACCACCGGCCTCACGGCTCCATTCCACCCATGAACAATAGGGAGCGGCACGTCCCCGCTGGCCCCAGAGGGGAAACCCAGTCACCCACCAGGTTGTTCCCGTCCTTGTTCTCGTCTTCTCAAGTGCTACTCTCTTTTGCATCGCGCCCAGTGGTGGCTCCCACGCCATAAGTTCCTTTTCGTGTTTTGGATGCAGACTAGCTAACATTGGCTCGTGGTTTTTCTGCACAGGCGCAAGGAAAACGCCAGTCCCTCCAAAATTAACGCTTACCGTCGACCTACCGAGGACCCTCCGATGCTGAGCGCCTCCTCGTTCAACAACCACTCATTGTTCTCCTTTGGCAGCCGGAATGGTAACGAAGACGGATCGTCGACTAGCACAGCATTCGAATTCTTGCCCTCGGTGAGCTTCGACGATCTTCAGAGCAGCCTCGAGTCGGCCTCGACCGATTTCAAGCTGGCCCACTATTCAACACCGCCTGGCCAAAATTCTACACCCGAAAGCATGGGCGGCCATTCCGACATCTCCATCAATGCGACCGGCGCGAGAGTCGCCGTTCAGCAGCCTGCCCCGACGCGGACTGCCAGGAGCGGGTCAATTTTGCGAAGACCTAGTATAACAAATGGCACTACCAGACAGGCAGGCTTAGGAACAACAGCATCCAACGCCTCGGGTGTTACGACCCCTACCGCTCCGGCCGCCATCCGTACTCGCCGCCCGAACCATTACCCTCCAGTCTCGAGTACGAACAACACGGTGAAAGCTCCCAGGCGCTCGGCTGGGCCTGACGTGCTCGGTAATACAGACGCGGAGGCACGGAGACGAAGGCCGAGTGTCGCTTCACTCGGGGAACGAAATGGGACGGAGCCAGTACGCACATCAGTGTCCGTAGACGGGGGGGCCCCGTCCTATGCCCGAGTCTACGCGAACTTCCAAGGCGAGATCTGTACAACCGCCGCCTCGAGGGAGTGATGCTACTACACTGGCCCACGATTTGAGCGCTCTTGCCTTGGGTTCCGGTAGCTCACCTGGATTTCCACGCTCCCCCAGGACTGCGGTCAAGGCGTCAGTTCCGTCCTCGACCAAGAGGATATCTGTTATGCCTGGTGTTCCTCATACTTCGCACGCCACAGGGTTAGGCGCCAGGACAATCAGTCCGACGGATACGAGACTGATGAAGCGTATGTCACATCATCAACCCTCCCAAGCGCCAGTTCCAGTGCCAACAGCTCCGATGCCATTAGCTACATCACGTCCTTCATCTCGCTCTCCATCCATGCTGCCACGCAAGATCCCGACGCCAGCTTCCTCTCGGACTACCCCCGACGCGAACAACCGAAAATCCTACAGCTCTGGTCTTTCGGCTACATCAGCAAATAGCTACAACACCGTACGATCATCGACTGGCTCTATTCAACCGCGGATCCCGCAGAGTGGTAGCTCTAGGCTACCTGCTCCAAAGGGTGTACCCTCCCAGAGCACGGCGAACGGCGAGGAAGAGGAAGAGGTTCCACCAGTTCCAGCAATACCAAAGCTGTACGATTCGCCTGGCGAACTGTCGTTTTTGGACAAGCGCAAGTCCAATAGGGCGTTTGATACTAGTAGCATCAATAGCACCTCAACAGGGAGCGTATCTGGGGCACAGCTGACTGACCCACCGCCTGCTAAGCTGCAGCGCAAACCAAGCCAACGAAAATCTGTACACACCTCGACTGTGGACAAGAAGTCCTCTTCCTCAAACTCAAAGAAAAACCTGCAGCCTCTTCGTCTACCCCCGCTTGCTCTAGGACCCTTAAGCACTACAACTGCTGCCAAAATCGCGGCGCTTCAGGATCACAATGCATCGGAACGGAATCTTTCTCCTCCTGGTAGGCAAATCGCAAAGACGCCGTCGACACCCATGACAGCGTCAAGAAGCACCTACTTCACCACAACGCGAACTGAGGATAAACCTACTGTTCAGCACCTTAGGAGCACAAGCACAATTAATCGAGGAAAGGGTGGTAGTATTGACTCGTATAGCTCAAACGAGTCGATGGGGGGAGTGGTGTCGAACGCTATGCCACAGTCAGGAATGTCGCCATATATCGCGTCTTCTGCGGCCAAGGGTGAGAGCCAGGAGTCAGCGTTTTCCAATCGACCAAAGACCGGCGATCCCGATGCATCTGTTCCCCAGAAACCCTCTGGACCACGAGCGCCGAAGCCTGCTGCCGCGAAGTTGTCAACCGCGAAGTCACCACCACCTCCCACTGACCCGGAAGAGCCTCCAACTCCATCGTCAATTGGCACCTCCATCAGGCGGAAACTGAGTCTGTCATGGAAACGAAGCGCATCCAAGAACGGTAACAATCGGCCTGACAAGGCTGATCCGAACAGTATCAAACACGACTCTATGCCACCCCCAAAGATTCCGATATCGGCGACGCTGGGCAGCATGCCTTCAGCTACAAAAGCCCCAAGCCCGACGCCTTCCTCAAAATCGAATGGAACAGGGACCTACTTGGAGTCCAGGAGACGGAAGAGCTCAGCTTCGAGCCTCAATGCCATTGTTGCAGGGGACCGTCAACGAGGTGATGCGGCGGCGGGCAAGAAGGAATCTACGCTGGACACGGTGGCGGAGCGATCGATCCATACGTATAGCTCGGCGCAAAAGATCCTGAAGCCGAAGAACTCAAGTGCGACTCTGAGCCAACCCCGTGACGTCTGGACGGCCGATCTCGACAAGGATGATATGGTGGCCGAGGATGAGATGAAGAAACTCGGGTCGCGCCGTAAGGAAACGGAAATGGCGGCTCGGACACTTGACGCCTTACGCAAGCGTGCTACTGCCAAGGAACGCGTTGGCCCTCAGGAAGCCCTCAGGATTGCCGTCCTGAATATTTATGAGCGCGGCGAAATTGTGGACTATAAGGACGTCTACTTTTGCGGTACTCAAAATGCGGCCAAGGTGGTTGGTAACGTTCAGTCAGACCTCCCCAACTTCGGGTACGACGATGAGGTGGAGACTACTCGATTATTATTGGCGATCATCTTGCGTACAGATATGAGATCATTGATGTTCTCGGAAAGGGCAGTTTCGGTCAGGTTGTTCGGTGCATCGATCACAAGACCGGCGTCCTTGTGGCCGTCAAAATTATCCGGAACAAGAAGCGGTTCCACCAGCAAGCCCTTGTGGAAGTCAATATCTTGCAGAAGCTTCGCGAATGGGTAAGCCCTTGACGATTGTCTACTCGAACGCATTTTTTCGCTAACACATAAATCTATAGGACCCTAAGAACAAACACAGCATGGTCAACTTCACCCACAGCTTCTATTTCCGCGGACATCTCTGCATTTCCACAGAACTCCTGGATATGAACCTTTATGAGTTCATTAAGTCGAATGCTTTCCGGGGCTTCTCACTCAAGTTGATTCGGCGGTTCACCAAACAGATGCTCAGTTCACTACTTCTGTTAAAGCAACACAAGGTTATCCACTGCGATTTGAAGCCAGAAAACATCCTACTCCGACACCCTCTACATTCGGAGATCAAGGTCATCGATTTCGGTTCCAGCTGTTTCGAAAACGAGAAGGTGTATACTTACATTCAGTCACGCTTTTACCGATCCCCTGAGGTTATTTTGGGTATGACATATGGCCTACCTATTGACATGTGGTCACTGGGCTGCATTCTTGCGGAACTCTTCACTGGTGTTCCCATCTTCCCCGGTGAGAACGAACAGGAACAGCTGGCCTGCATCATGGAAGTATTCGGACCTCCGGAGAAGCACCTCATTGAAAAGTCGACACGCAAGAAGCTGTTCTTCGATAGCTCTGGTAAGCCGCGTCTTACTGTCTCCTCGAAGGGCCGCCGCCGCCGCCCATCTTCCAAAACCTTGCAGCAGGTTCTCAAATGCGATGATCAACCATTCTTGGATTTTATTGCCCGCTGTCTCAGGTGGGATCCTGACAGGAGAATGAAGCCCGAGGAAGCTGTACGGCATGAGTTCATTACCGGGCAGAAGACTCCGCCCTCATCTTCCATGCCAGTGCCACGCCTTGCATCGACGCGAGAGTCGTCCCCAACCAAGCGTGTACAGAGTCTGAACGGAGGAGGACCTCGCCCGCTTCCGGAGCCACCAGCCGCCGTGACTACTAGAACCTCACTACGGTCAGGAGTCGTCGGCTCCGGTATGCCTGGGGGTCCTTTAAAACCTACTCTTGCTAGTAGTATTTTGCCTTCCTCCCGTAAGGTATCCGGCATGACGGCCTCGGGTAGCGGGGCGACTTCTGGCGTGAAAAGAGCAAGCGGAGGTACCACCGGCTCGACAGCTGGCAGTTTCACCTCCGGAAATGTGGGCTCTAATGGGAGCAGTCTACCGCGCGCAGCGGTCCGTACCACGAGTGCCCGGCAGCAACAGCAACAAGATCTCGCAGCTGCAGGGGCCACAGCGGCCATGATGAGCCGCAGGGCCTAGGAGGAACGATGGGCTAGAAGGGTTCGACTGGGTATAGGAAGAGCGATGGGGCCAAACATGGCAAACGTTGGGTTGAAGCGGGAAGTTTTGGGTAGTTATCACAAAGTCTTATATGGGTAAGAGAAGGCGACGGGTCACGACGTGAAAATTTCCAAGGGTCTCGGGTGGGTGTTGCCAAAGTGTCGAACGATACGGTACGAACGATCAAACGAACGGACGAACGAACGAACAGACGAAAGCGAGCATGGCGTCGAACCTGAATTTTGTTTTGAGTTGTCAGACCTTCCCTGTCGAAAAGGTGCAGTCATCGTTTTTCTTCCGTTTGCTTCTTTCTTCTCCTGTGCATCATTATCATCATCATCATTCCCATCATTGTCATCATTGTCATCATCGTCAACATCATCATCATAGTACGGTCGGTGTCTGCATGGGGATAAAGAGTAAAGACGCGTGTGTCAGTTCATCTTATCATAACATTCGCTTTATGTGTGTATAACTTACCTCACCCTCTCTTCACGGCGTTGTTACGAGTTTTTTTTGTCTTGTCTTGGAGGTTGGGCTCAGAAAGAAGGTATAGAGGTGTCTATAAACTATGGGTGATAAAGGAGGAGTTGTTGGAATGTCATGACGAATGGTGGATATATCGAAGTGGCTTTAGCACTGCGGGAAAATACAGAAAGGATTAGGAACTGGTTAAGTGGTGACGAGGTCTAGGAGAAGTGGTAACCAGCCACAAGCTGTCAATCAACCAATATCTCGTCCTTCGTTGAATTTGCTTCGCATTGTTTCTGTCTGTTCGAGATCCACCTTGCGCGTCGATTCCCATGTCCTTTTCAATGTGTCTTCCTGTTGCTGATACAGCCATATACACTATCTACACTATCGCCGTGATCGTCATGACCATGTCGATTCACCTCATCACCACGAACCTTGATGACTATCTCTTCAAAGAGATCAATCATTCTCCCTAGAAGAGAAAGACATGTTCGGGATATTAATCCAGTCAGCAACCCTGGGGCGTTGTGCTGGAGCGAAGTGGCTTCGCAGCCGAGGTAGACCCGTCTCAGCCACATTCTTTTCCGGACGTACGTTGAAGAGAATCCCGTGGTGAGAAAAAAAAACCGACAGCAAGCCACGCAGAAACGGTGGACATCATGACACATTGCTGTCCGTTGGGTGGTGTGTGGTGTGTGGTGGTGGCGTGGGCGGCACGGCTGGCTGGCTGGCTGGCTGCCACACTCACTCACTCACTCTATGGCGTAGGCCGTAGAGTAAAGTAAGTAAGAGCTATGTAGGTACGTAGTGTGGGCGGTATGGGGTGGGAAAGAGGATGAGTAAGAAGGTTAACTTCACTTAATGGGATATGCTCTTGTTCTTCTGTTACCTTGAGGCACTGTAGGGCTTAGTCTAGTCCCGAATTGGGGCCCAGAAAGTATTACCTTACCGACTTGACTTCATGAAGACGAATCGGCCCGTTTGCACCGCACAGGAAGAAGTAAGAAGGAACACCGCTCGTCTTCTTCTGACTGAGAGGAAAATCTACTCTCCTCTCTATCTCGTGGTGAGACTGGGCATCTAAGTGAGTGATAGCTGCTAGCTGGGATGGGTGGATTTATGGCCACGCCTATGTTAAGTAACAGGACCAAGTCTGATCGATCGCTTTTCCTACCTACATCACTTCGTCCCTTCAAGATCCCACGTGTCTCATCAACCGGTAGGTATCTCGAGAGTCTTTACCTGATGACAAGTAGCAACTATGGTAGCAGGTAGTACTTATTGCCCACCCGAAGGTCTGCGTAGCCTAGTATAATTAACCCATGGCCTCCTCCAGTCATTCTGTGTCTATTCTCTCCCTTACGTTTGTCGTACATGACGGTCATCAAGTTAAAATATTCGACTCCTCGGAGTCACTTCTTCATCATCGAATGCCGCAAAATACCAACATTTTCATCATGATGCCTAGGCTTAGGTCTAAACTAAACTAGACGGCAAAAACCCGTGTCTTGGATGATAGCTTTGTCCGCCTACTCCGGCCCGGGTCCCATGTAGACCTACCTACATATTAAGAAGCATGAAACTTTCTCGTAGAACACTGTGATTTAGCTGTGTAAGTTCATTAAAAGCAGGCAACTGTTTTCGGGAAGAAAGAACCCCAGAACCTCACCAGCGCTTCTGCGCACAACAACGGAGAATTTTGGGGGCCGGAACGGGGGCGGGACTGGGGACGCGGCGCTCGAACCAAATCCCACTCGAGTCTCGGGGAGTGAGTAAGAGCCGCGGCCTTTTTTTAAGGCAGCAAATATGAAGTTATGTATCCAGTGTGTATGAGAGTTGAGGAGTAATGTCTGCGCGGTAATGAGATTGCCGTGACTCGATGGTATCGTGTAAGGGCCCAGGGGGTGTGTGGTCCTAGCTACCTAGGGTCTTGCGAATTAACGTTACTGTTGGTTAACGATGATTACCTGCGGTTATGGTGGAGGTGGTTTGGTAGGCTTTGGGGTAACCTGGTGTTGAGTACCAACTATACGGTGTGTAGGAGGCCGTTCGCAATATAGGAACTTGATGACGCAGTTATGTCGAGATGCTGTCCAGGTTCGGGGTCATCGCGGGCTGCACTGCCTGTCTTAATTGTTCCCGACGGCGTCAGGGGTTGGGTGAATGACTTCTATCATAGACCAAAAGGAAAGATACAGTCGGGGGGATGAGAAGAGATTGATGGCCTGACAATCACAACGTTCAGTTTTAGGCACCGTCATCCACGGACAGCCGCCGCGTATACCGGGCGACTGTCCGGCGGCAGTGATGGTAATGGTAACTATGACATGATTCTCCACACAGAGCATTGGGAGGGTGTTGTATGATTCAACAATTTTGTCTCAAAGAATGAAAAAAAGAACTACTTTCAGGGTTGGAGTACTGTGTAAGTGCCCGTCGTCCATCCCGTTGGAGGTTCGCAGGTAAAGTGGGTCTCTCCGCCGCATGTGGGGCTCAACCTTCCGGTTCGGCCTCCCGGATGATCACATGTTGTTTCCGCTTCTGCCTGGAGGAGGCCGGATGGGGGCCGGAACCGGACCGGGGTATGTTAACTGTTCTCTTTTGTCTTTGTCTGTGTCGGGTGCCAAGCGCACTGCCCCACCGTTCGTTGATCAGTGGAGATTGGACAAGGAATAGGATCCCGCCATTTCGATGTCAACGGTCAGTGTGGTCGGCCGACCGTTCACTTTCTGATGTCAACACTCAACGGCATCTCCGTCCTGACCCGGATCCTCCTCCAAGGTATCAAGTATCGATTCAACAGTTATTCGTCCCGAACCTGGAACCAGGGGCTGTGGCAGGTAAGATGTGGGAGGAAGTGAGGTCGAGACAGTGATCCGTTAGATATCTCGACAACTGATTGGTGGCATCTCGTCAGCCGTTTCGAGGCGGTGCTTGGACGAATGTGGGTTTCCTTGTGTTTTCACTGGTTCTAAATTCTCACGGTCTGTCAGTCACCGATCACCTGCGGACTCTTTTGGGGCCTTTTGACGTCTCGAAGTCGTGAAAGAAAACGGAGGGTTGGGCGGGAATCAAAGCGATTGGTTGTCTAGCGAGACATTGTTTGCAAATCCCCACTTGTGCATCGTAGGTTCTTGGCGTCATGGTTGTTGGGGGAAACAGAAGCCATCTTTTGCTGCTGTTTTCCAAGGGCGTGTTCCAATTTCCGACGCACGAATCCGATTCCTATATGAAATCGACCCCTATTGTTAATATGTAGTAAATTATACTATATAAAGAGTGTAGGAAGAGACTTAGGCTATTAAAAAGTATTAATTTGACGAAGGAGCTTTGTAATACCTCTATAATCTATTTGTAATTAATTTGTCGCCTATATAAGCTTTAGTTATCTTCTTAAAAAGGTATTGTAAAATACTAAGAGTTGTTAATTTAAAAATATAAGGAAAAGTTGTATTTTTGTAATTGATCGGGCGTGATAAGGATCTTATTGTACTATGTTATACTAGAAGTGCTGAAAGTACTAGTAGTTATTTCCTTCCCTTTATACAACCTTTTTGTCACAGGTTGGCATTAGCTATATAGTGTGCATTCTGAGTTCTGCCTTGCAAGCAGAACATCGTCCTATCTTTTGTAAGTTTGGCCGTCTGGGTATATACACCGTAGCCTGTTAGAGTATGTTCTGCTTAAACGATGGGTTCGATTCCTGACCGTGGCAATTTCGAGAGCGATTTTGAGATACTCTTATCGGCACTTAGTCGAGCGCAGCTTCTAAGAATGCAATGACAATTGAGGACTATAGATGCAAATTGAAGAGTACTAAAATGCTACGTATCAGCCCATTGGAAAATTTTCAACTTAGTGGAAAGTTGTATTTTCAGGTAGTGCTACATAAGCTGTCGTATTGCAATAAATCATCTGCGACATTGTCGTTCTCGGAAATGGGGCCAGGGCCGAGGCCTTATCTTGAAGATTACCGAAAGATAACTTTGCTTTAAGGGAGGTAGTGTCACAGGTTGACATTAGCTATATAGTGTGCATTCCCTTGCAAGAAACTCACCTTCGAGTTTGCCTTGCAAGCAGAACATTGTCCTATCTTTTGTAAGTTTGGCCGTCTAGGCATATGCACCCTAATCTGTCATATCAGTATACCAGCTAATCAGAAGTAACGAAGTTTACTGAAACAAAAGAAGATAACAATAAGAACGGACGATAAAACATTGAAGCAACCACAGCTCTCCGGGCTTCCATAATAAGACAGGATGAAAGTTCGGACTTAGGATTACAGTTGGAAATAGAAAAACTGAAAGTTTTCATCTAGTATTCAACAATACGGGTTTTCTCTTAGACTAAGAAAGGAAGCAGCACCGCTTACCTATTGGGTAGACTATTGTTAACGTGTGGCTAGTACTGTGCCTTGTAACTGCCTTGTACTACCTCATAGTATAGAAAGCTGATTGAACTATTCCTTTTACGAGATCAGTCCACTTAGCCTTCACAGAACGTAC